AATATAAATATTAACTAGACATAGTGCACAATAAAATTAAGCTTATTTAGGACATCGCGCATACTCCCCGACAGCCTGCCTGTTTCGCTCTGCTCGCTACTCGTAAGAAACTTCTCCTCTAGGGTTGCCACACTTATCGGAGGGCGCAAGGCGCGCTCCTTATCGCCATCACCACACTCTGAATAGCAGTCGACTGCTGGACTACTGCGATTGCAGCTCGCTGAGTCAATGTTAAAATGTTTCGTGATACATGAACTGCAGTAACGTGCATTTTAGATACTACGATTTTTATGCAGGGCTGGGCCCCACCTCACATGTGTCGCATAGTTACTTAGGCATCATTTCACGAATGAACGTCTTATAGGTCGACACTTCCCACCAGACCTCAATCTCTGTTGGCTATGGGGTTACCTCAAAAGCTCTGTTTATGGTGATAATCTAAACAATTGGCAGATATGAAAATTTGATACACGACATGTCATACATTCCTCCTGATATGCTAAGAGCTGCTGTGAGAATGCAGAACAATATTTAACTGCTTTCGGAAATACTATACGCTACATGCAATGCTTTGTAACGTTTCGGAAACAAACACATTTAACCGATCTTTCATGTCTTATTTCATTTAACAATATTGCATACAGTGCCATTTTCCCCCTGGTGGTGAGTTTTTTAACTCTTTTTTTTTCCTGCGGAAAAAATTCCCATAACCTCCTTTACACGATTCCAAATGTGATAACATTTGGTCTGGTATTTTCCTTTTATGACCATTTCAAAGTGGAACTTTAATTATAACCACCATGTAAATTAAACTTTAAGAGAAAACACTTGGACGTGTTCACCAGCAAATACCATCAATTGAGCTCGTGTTAATAGAAAAGACAAAAACGATATCAGTGCAGATTAAAGTGAACAGCGACTGGTTTTAGATTATATGGTTGTATAAATTTAAATTACGTTATAGAACATCATATTGTATCATAAACGGAGAATCCCAGGATTTGAAGATTAAGAAGTTTATCCAGTGATGTATGTGGATGTCACCTACAGACTTTATTTTTCCTCCTGATAAAACAGCAGCTGAGCGGTAAAGTCGCCGAACATTGGTAGTTCGGTCCGAGGTTCGAATCCCACGAACGGGCTGGCTGCATGGGTGTTTTCGTGGATTGCCCCATGTGCAACGTTTATACGAGCCAGTTTCCTTTACAAAGTCCTCCACGATGGTATCCCTCCCTTAGTCAGATAGCGCTAGTGTGCTTTGTCATAATTAAATAAACCAAAACCTCTTGCTGAAACCAGTCTTTCCTTTTATCTCTCACATTCAAAACGCTTAGCCTATGAAGACTGATAAAGGCTCTGATGAAATGGATTATTAAGTTATAGCAAAACAAGGCATCGCCTAAAGGAAGGATGCCTTCGTGAAGAAATTTCTAGGGAAACCAGCTGGATATGTTACACATGAGAAAACCCACGAAAAACGCCCATGCAACCACCCATTTATCGATTCGAACCCTGGAGTGAATACCGTTTCAGCGACTTTACCACTCGGCCGTTTGTGGCCTTTATGAATTAAGGCGATAACTTTATTTAAAATGATTGTCAGAAATACCAAGATGTTTTCGAAAAGTGGATGCTTTTTATATACTTGCAGAATGCCTAAAGAAAAGAGCAAGAATGAGCAGAATGCCTGGAAAAAAAAAAGAGATGAAAAAATAAATTTTTGCGTAAAATTTAGTATTTATTTTTTTTTTTTTTTTTAATTTAAACTTTTTAATCTTATGATATCTGATTCTTGCGATTTCAAAAATAAAATATTTGACTAAAATATGATTAACATTTTAAGAAATCAAATGTAGGATAAAATTGTGTAAAGCAATGGGCACAATGATAAAACTATTTAAAGTGTATGCAAGTCATCTTAAGTTAAAATGTCCGTTATACATCTCTCTTATTTATATATATCTTTTCTGAACGGAACATTGAAAAGCGTGTTAACTGTGCTTTACTGTAATTTCTCTTTTAATATATGCAGTTTTCAAATGCATCGTAGTCTGGGTTACAAAGTATTCTTCCGGAAAAAATGCAATTCAAATAAATAAAATCAAATTCTGAAAAATTTATATTAATAAATATATTTAAAATGCTCAGTTCGAATGAATTAGTAGAAAATTTTAAAATAATTATTTGAAGAGACAATGCAACACTAAATTAAAATAAAAGTTCTAAAAATTTAAAAATTACCTAAATAGTAACTATGACTAAAAATATAGCATAAAGAAAACTATTTTTAAAAGAAATAAATAAACGATGCACTTTTGATTTAAACTACGCAGTTCAAATGAGTAAATAGAAATTTTTAAAACAGTTATTCGAAAGAAACCATGCAACTTAAACAATTAAAATGAAATTCGGAAAAGAAAAAAATTGCTTAAAATTAATAACAATTATAATTAAAATATAATATGAAGAACATCATTTGAAAGAAGGAATGATTGGATCTTTTTTTCCTCTCACACACTATGTAAAAATGGAAATGAAAATAGGTTGCCACATATTAAGAAGTTCGCCAAGTGAACTAACTTTGGTGCAAACTGAATAAAAAGCGGCAACATAAATTGTTTAATTTCTTCGTAAATTTTGCACCAAATTTTACAAAATTTAATATTTAGGCATAGTTTGAGTCGTAGAATCGAAATATGTAAAAAAATTGGTATGTTATTTCAGAAAAAGTTCGATTTCATGTCAAAATACCTATGTTAGAATAGTGCTATATCTAAATCCTAAGTAATCCTAAGTCCCTATAAATATATATCCTAAGTCGTGCTTTCGAGACATGAAGAACGCAATTTGAATTTCGTGAATCGACCCAGTAGAACGGAAGATATAGAACTGTCCCCCCTTTTTTTTTGAGCAGTGTACATCCCAAAGCAAGTCTCACACTTGAATAAATTTGACTTGTGCAAAATACTGCAAGAATGCACAAATGTAAACTTTTTGCAACAGGAAAAAATATACGACCTTAGGGTTATTGAAGGAGTAAAGATCCCTTGGTCAAATAAAAGAGCACAGATGACAAACATTAATGAATGACTGGTTTGAAAATCATTTCAAACATAAGGTTTGGCAATGGCAATGATTGAAATCAGCTGGTTCACCAGATAATGCAAAAATCGGCCTGATTATAGATAAATATTCAGTTCATACTTCACTTACATTGTTTTAGTAAAAGATAACTCTGTCAAATCTTATTCTTTTTACATTCCACATTTAGCCAGTGGATATCAAAGTGCTGTGTGCAATGAAAGGCAGGCTTTTTAAAACCTGTATTAAATGTTATGAACAATACTTACCAATCTACGGCAGTCAAAAATCAGGAGAATTTTCTCACCACACTCAAGATTTTTTAAATAATAAAAGTATGTAGAAAGAAAAAGTATTTTTAACAATGAATTAACTAGTAACTAATTAATATTTGAAAGTTCAGTTATTATTTCAATGGAAATAATGCAAAAATACATGTTAAAAAAATTATCACTTGTACCTTCTAATAATAGAATAGTCTAATCAGCTTCCCTAATCATTAAATTATACTTTAAACAGATCACTAATCATTGATTGCAAAACATGACTGCAATTCTGCATTCCAGAATTGTGTTAAGAACAGCAAATGATGACAAAATGGAGCATACAAAACTGCAAAATGCGTAGTTAATACCCGAGGACAAAAACAAAAACATTCGTTCTTCACAGAATAAACTTAGCATAATTGGAGAATGTACCTCTTGTCAAGCGATTTTTTTGAGATAACCCTGTTTTGGTAAAGCTTCACTCTTAGATTTTGAAGTACTATTTTGAGAACTGCCAATTCAACTGCTCTCAGGTGCAAATATTACTTAATTTTTCTTGCACCTATTTTTAACAGTAGAAATAATAACTATATCTTAGTTTACTTAAGGTATTTTATAACTTTCAACAGAGCCATTTGTTTTAACTCTAGAAGCATTTACTTATTCCTTAAAAAATGTAAGAAGTGGGTTTTATTGGTTGAGGATTTTAGATAAACATTTCTCTAAAGTTTCCCAGCATTTACATACATAATTCAGACTTTTTCTCATTTCAGTGTTATGCAGCTGTTGGAATTGTTTGAATTTTTTCTTTCTTTTAGCAATCTTTCCAAGATAATAATAAATATCAACATCATCCACACTATTAACAAAGAAGCTGACTGCTAAAGTTAAGAGATGATAGGTACATTTCATAATTTGCTATTATGTATGTTCTTCTTTCTTTAAGATGCCTGCAACATAACTTCAAAGCCTACCATTCCTAGTGCATTGTCAGCTAGCATTTGTTTTGAAGCTTTAATAATTAGCTCTGCTAGATATTAAAGCCTGCCAAATCTCCTTCTAAAGTGGGGACAGAAAGTAAACTACACTCAATGTATAAAGACTGGATTAAAAAAAAAAAAAAAAAAAACTTAGTTTTCTATCAGCATTATTGCTTCCACTTGTAGGGAGGCAGAATGGAGCTGTTTTAATGCAATCAATAACTTAATATTTATTTTCCATACCAATCTCTTGAACCCCTTTATTCTACAATTGCAGCCACTTTTCTCCTTGTATTTAAGTATTTCTTAGTAATTTTACTACTGGAAAAAAACTTTTTCTAAAAAGCTGCAGCATGATCCAATGCACTCACTCGCAAGTTGTGCTCCAGTAAAAAAGCAGAGAAAAAGGATTCTGCATTAAGATTTTTTTTTATCCTTTTTTCGACAGAAAATCTTTTTTTTCAGAGTTGCTACTCAAACAGGAGAATGAAATTCCCCGACTTTTCCAGGTTTCCCAGGTGTGTTTCAAGGAAATTCCAGGCTATCCGCGTAGGCTGTGCTGAGGGTAAATTAATTATGATACCACTTGAAAACACAAAAATTTATGTCTTTCCTGCAGATATTCTGCAGCTAAAGGAAGAAAGAAATCTAATGATATTTTCAAATACATTCAAGTATTTTACATTTATTTAGCAGCATACATAAGTAAAAAATATGTGCAATTAATTTCATGATGGCATGTCATATTACAGCTAGAATTAGTTTCACAAGTATGCTATAGAAAATTGCCAGAAATATGAAAGTATTATTAACTGATAAATATGAAAGTATTATTAACTGAACATTAGAAGGAAGAAGACACATTAAAATAAAGTGAATTACTTAAGAATTAAAAAACTGAATTACAAAAATTGACAGTATTTTGGCCAATATAAATATATTAAATGGTTAGCCTAGATGACTGATTATTGTTTATTTTATTTTACTGCAAAATGACAAATAAGGTATTTAAGAAAGAAGAAAAGGTTTAAAATATTTTGTCTTTATACAAGGATTTATTTTTGTTCAACATGCACTGTACATGTGCATGCAAATCTCTGGATTCTTAAGGTTACTAGAAACCAAAGATGCTGGAAACTTGCTTTGCTTTTTTAAAAGACATTCTGATTGGCACTGCAAAAACTGGCTCTACACCAGCTGTCTGAATGACACTCATGTGATACATGATTCGCAGAGAAAATGATTGCTTCCGATGTTAGTGCAAAAACCGCTTTTTTGGGGATTGCAATATAAAATTCTGACTTTTACAGTCAATTTTTGAATTCTGACTTTCCCCAGTTTTCCAGGCAGCCTGGCAACCCTCCCCCCAAAAAACTAATGTTGTCCTTGTGTGCGCACATGTTTAAGAACATTGGCCCTTCCACCATACCAAAATCGAAAAATCACAATGACAAATGGTATACATAGCAATACTACATTTCCTCGATGAAATAATAGAAGGAAAGTCATCTATGTACGATTTTTGAAAAGTACACAAGTATTTTATATCTTTTGCAGGCATAACTAAGACAAATGATCGCTGTTTCTTAAACTGTTTTTAGGAAGCACATGAAACTCACTGGCAAGATGGACAAAAAAAAACAACCTCGATTGTGTTTCTGCTCATTTCCTAATATATGCCTATGACCCCTCACCAAAGTACTGAAACACGATGTTTTCAGACTCGCTCCATATCTCACTGATGAAATGACTTTGGTTCTCCTTTTTATATGCATCTAGAGGGGAAAAAACATGTGCTTTCAGACACCAAAAAGTGACATTTTTGGGTGCAAATAATGAACTGTAAACCAAGGTATAAAAAAATCATGAGCAATTTTAAAAGTGGGAGAATCAAATCAGGTTGGTGAGAATATGGTCGGAAATCAGGAGTCTCCTGCCTAAATCAGGTTGGTGAGAATATGGTCGGAAATCAGGAGTCTCCTGCCTAAATCAGGACAGTTGGCAACTCTGCAAGATAAATAATTATTTAAAAATATTTTAATATAAAACCTGCAAATTGATCACAGTAAGGTCATGGAAGACCTTGCTAGTATATACTTTAATAGCTGGCATAATTTGTAGTTAGATACTGCATTTCATTGTGGTGGTGATATCTGTGAATTTAAAGGTTAACAGATAACACAAGCATAAGGCGAAATTTCCTAATTAACGGACTTTGTGAAAAAATGTGGAGAAGTGATAATAAATGAAAATGATATTAACAGGAAATTTTTAGTGCAATGACAATGCCCCAGTAATCAGACAACTAATGGATGGTAAAATCTGCAGTATTGTTTTAAATACAAAATATAATGCTACTGATTGTGAAAAAGGTTACAAACAGCTTTTTGAGAATGAAAAGGTTTCAAAGGAAAGGTTTAGGGGGAATTCTCGACATGGTAATTATGACACTTGGATAATGAAAATCAAGCAACCAAACAAGAATCTGTGCCTATCTATGAATTTAATACTGTTAAAAATTTAAATATGAAGCTCAATATTGTTAGCAGTCTCTCATAATTTTAAACTTCATAATGGCATTATAATAAGTCATTTGACACAAACATGCAAGAGCAGGACTAGTATTAAATTTCATTGTTTAAGACAACAACAGGCTACTACCAATTTTACTTCTATGTATAGTTTGATAAGCCAACCAGCACATCATTTGCCAACTTGGAAATTTTCACAAGAGTGTTGTAACACCAAGATGCCAGCACTTTTATTAAGATCAGTTTTTAACTTGAAAAGAGCACTCTTAGAAGTTTCAGTCCATTACTCTGGTTAATGAAAAAGGATCCCTACTTGTATAATTATGCAACTTCATGAAAGTAGCTTCCCAAGTTAAAGAACTGATTTTCATAATGTTGAATCATCTATGCCATGCAACTCTTGTGAATATTTTTCTTTGCAAATTTGAACTGCATTCCCGTTATAATGATTCAAACACTTTCATAATGAGATAACCTTACGCAGCAAGCCTAAGGTAAATTGGTAATTTGATTTTTCTTGTTTATTTGCAATCTATTTACTTACTGTTTCTAATGCTGCATTTAGAACAAAAGATGTTTTATAGAACAAAATAAAGAATCTCAAGATTACTTCACCAACTCCAAAGTTTTACTGCTCAGTCTAACTTTTCTAAATTACACATCAAGGGAGAAAATACAGGACATAGGTACATAAATGACACATACATGAGAAATGATCACAACACATTTCCTTAGCAAATATACTGATAGAGGACCTTCCAAAAATGACACAAGAAAATTAACATGCTTGGGAATATGGCACTCATTTCTGCAGCTGAAAAAATATATAACAATCTACATCAATTACTCCATTTGTAAAATGTCATGTGATGTTATTGAACGACTGTGGATCAAAACACAAGTTATGCAATTATTTTAGAGCAGTTCATTTAAAATTTAAACAAAAAAGAAGAAAAGGCCCACTCTAAAGTACTACTGCTAATAAAGCTCTCAAACTGTTTACTGACCATATTTTTGGAGCTCAGATTTCCTTACCTTCATAGCTAACAACAAAACAATGGCTTGTCCAATACATCAAATAAAAAATTTCAGATGCATATCCCAATTTTAATATAAACTACATACAAATGCATAAATTTATGATATAATTTCACCATATAACATGGAAAAAGTTCAAATTATAGTTCTTTAGTTTCTTTTTGACATAAAAAGTAATAATTCACAAGTAGAAAGAGAAAGATACAACTCTTACACAATTTGCAAATAAAATTTTCGATTTTGCCAAATTCTAGTTTGACACTTTTGTATTCTAGCAAGAAATAACATTTTTTAATGGATAAAGCTCAGTGAATCAAGTTGAGAAGATCAATGATTAATTACAAAACGTTAACACACCAAAATTTGTCAACAGAAAAGTTTAAGAAAGCTTAGAATCAAGAAAGTACAAACCCAAAATGAAATATATAGGAATAGCACATTATAAAAAGAACTTTGCTTAGTTTTACTTTATCACACAGGTACAACATGCAAATATCATGACAAAAACCAGAAGGCTTTCTACAAATACATAAAATTCATTTCTTTATAGTAACAGAAAATATATGTCGCAGGAGTAATTGAAAATAAATAATATGCACTTTGTAAAAGACCAGGATAATATAATAATCCTAATCCCATAAGAAAACATTTAATAGATGGTTTCATGAAAGTATTTTTATCCAAATTTATACAATAAATTAAAAGGAAATATTCTTCAGCATGGTAACAGAAACTGTGTAAGTATAAAAATATGAACAACATAGTAACAAGTTGGATTACAATATTAAAATATAAATAATTAACAGTGAATTTATACCTATATTACATGTATTAAACTGAAAAAAGTGCACTGATAACCCCCTCCACCCATTTCCTAATCAAGTGTTTTCATTTTCATAACTTATAAATTTTAAGCTAATACAGATTGAAAGACAAAAATTATTTGATATAAGTCTACATCCAATCATTTTGGGGTTCAAAGAAATTACACGCATTTATACACAACTACGGCAAAGAGTAATAATATTCTAATCTAATACTTATTAAAAGTCACTTCATTCAAAAATGTTTTTAATGAGGAAAATTATCAGTCATAGATTCAGAGCATTTAAAATATACACATTTTACACACAAACATCAATCACTGATCTTTAATTTGGCTTTGAAATTTGAAGCAAAAATTGACCAAGAAATGATTTTTAAAATGAAAGGAAGTAAAACTAGCTCTATTCACTATAACTTTAATAACACAATTATTAATGTATAACATTAAGATTCTTAACAGTTGAGGAATGAATGAAAAAAAGTTTGTTCTAAAGTTATTTTCATTTAGACATATGGACGGAAAATAAATGTCACAATAAAAGAACAGATAAAATTTCTTTGAAAGATGAAAAGCACTTCAAACTATATTTAACAGAACGCACAATTAAATGATAGTCTTGAACTGCAAAAGCTTAAAACAGAAAAATACTTAAAATGAAATCTTGACAAAGCTACACTTGTACATGTATATTTAGTCCTTCAAAATAAATGTTTTTAACCTTGTACTTCTACGTAACAGGTTGAAACAATCTTGTATTAATAATCACTAGATATTAAATAAGGAAATATTAAACACATATAACATATACATATATACAAAAAGGTGTAATATTTCAAAGCAATGAAGTTATATTTACTTATAATGGGACTTAATAAAATTTACATAATGAATACCCTTATTTTACAGGAAAATGATTATTAAAAAAATTGAGAATCATTTCCTTCCACGATGCTTAAAAGAAATCTTAATATTCAAAATTCTCTACACATACTACTATATTTGTACTTTATCAAAAAGGATTTTTAAAACACAAAGTAAAGAATTTCAAGCAAAATAAGTCTAAAAATGAAAATTCATGTGAAAAAAATGTACACTAACAGCACAAATAAATTAAATGATTATGTAAATAATTATGCACAATTATGTAAAAGGAAAATTCAGTATAAACCTGATTTCATGCCTAATTCAAAAGTCTGTCACGTCTTTTTGAAAAAGGGGGGGGGGATAAAAAGACATTAAGTACTTCTTCAAAATGTTAAACATTCATTATCCAAACTATGGTTTAATTTTTAAACAATCTAAAATATCTGTAATCCAAAAAATATTAGTTATTACCGTATGAAAGTACTTTTGAAAATATTAAAAGAGAACTGTGTTTTAAAGAGTAAAGAAATATGTTTATCTACAACGATTTCAGAAGTGCTAAAATGATAATTATTTCCTATTTCTATGTTAAATAACACAGAAGACTAGAATATGTTTAAAATGCTAAAAATACCAATAAAAACAGAAAATAAGTACAATAAAAACATTTGCTTTTTTAATTAAAAATTCCAATTAAACCAGTACAGTATGAATTAAAAATCTAGATAAAAACAATTGCTATAAAGAATTTATGTGCACATCACAATTTTGTGCACTCATTAAAAATATTGATTTTGATGTACATCAACCCCCTGGTATTTATATACATATATTACTAAGAGTAACATAAGCTACACTACAAAAAATGTAGAACACTAACTTCAAACTTTTCTTTCTATAAAAATAATGGTTAACAGACAGTTTTCCAATCAAATGCTAATGCTCTTGAGCACTGAATACACAATGTTAAAAAGGTTCTAATTTTTAATCTGAAGCTGGAATTCAACAATTAATGAAAAGTTACTTTTTATGCAGGAAAAAACATGTTTTCATTGTTCTACAATACATAAAAGCATAAACTAAGCCAAATAAAGCGATTTCATTATTTGGTCCAATATGAGCTCTAAAAGCACACATGGGAAGCTTGGAAACTTTACCTTAATTAAAAAAATTTTTTATTATTATTAAATTCAGAATAGAGTCACCAAATTTGGCTTTAAATGAAATTTAAATTCAAGCAAAAAATCTAAATCCCCTTCATAACACGGATTTTTTTTTTTCCCATATTTATTCATTGGTCCTTCTTGCAACTATGAGCCCTAAGCTATAGTGTAATATGAAAACAGACATGTAAGTACAAGACCAAAGATTTATAAAGAGATTAACTATATCTCATGCACTATTTATTAATAACTTGTAAATATTTCTATATAATGATGAGAATGTATATTAAGATGATGAAACAATGTAACAAAATATTTATAAAACTTTCCTTAATTGCAAAATTAAGTAATATTAAATACAAAATAAAGTACACACAGAGTGGGCCTAACAGAAACAACTGGTTTTCTGTGTGTGTTTCCAAGTCTACATATTTAATCTAGTTGTAATCTATATAATTTCCATACAGTTTTAAATACTACCTATACCTACATTCTAATGATCTGAAACAAACCTGAAAAATACCCTGAAACAGTCAGATATAATGAGCAACTTACCCCCTTTTTTTAAAAGCTTAAACTGTACTGAATTCAATAAAGTGGAAAATTCACATTAATTGAAAAACTTACATCAGAACGTTTTGTTTACAACACAGCAGACATTACCTGTACACAGAAACTACAGTATAAAAATAAAATCAGAATCTTTTTTTTTCTGACCTACAGATGAATAAACGGCAATCCTCGATGGTCTGACAAAAATGAAATATTTCCCAAAATACTTAAAAAAACATTTAAGGAGAGGAGAGTTCCAGGTCTCTCACGACAACAAAGAGGCACTTCCAGAAATATTGTAATTTTTTTAGTATGAAACTCTGCTCCCCTGACAGACAGGTACTGATATTTGATGAGATGCCATCTGTGGCATTATGGAAGATGATTCAATAATCATGATGATTAATAACAGCATATAAGGATTAGGCATGAACAGATATAAAACTAAGACAATACTTCATGATAAAGATGTGCCCCTATTTAATTGCAAACTAAATTATAAAAAATGTCCAACATAAAAAAACCCTATTTGAATTCATATACAAATTACATCAATAACAGCAATAAAACGAAAATGGGTTTAAAAAACTAAAACTTATAATCTAAAAGACTCATAATAATTTGATTTTGTCCATGCCTAACATTACAATACTAGCACAGTGCTTATGCTTTCACTAACCAGAATACATCTCCTTTACAAAGTCTGGAATTGCAAATACCAAGCAAATGGCATACATTACGGCAAGAAGTTACAAAATTACTATAAAATAATGCATTAAAAAAAAAAAGGAAGGAAAGAAGAAAAAGTTCAAAACTTCATTTTCCCAAATACACATGAAAAAAAAAAAAAATCTTCTTATAAATTTAATGCTAACACAAGAGAAACAATTACAATATATAAATCATTGCCTTATACTAACTGGCACGGGGGGAGATACTTGAGAAAAGATGCACTCAATTTACACATTTAAGCTAAATTCATACAATGGATTTGCATAGCATGCTAAATAATTTTTTCATTAACACAATAAAAATTTTTAAAGTAAAATATTAAATTCTAAAAATACAGTAAAGTTACATTAACTGCAAAAAAGACCGTGTTTGATAAAAACATACCATGTTAAAAAAAATTCTTCTCTATGCTGAAAAATTTTGCATTTGGGGGGGGGGAGTTTTCAAGATTTATATCAGTATGCTCTTACTTTTCCCCTATTTTTAATAATACAAAAATCTTTTTCAGCTTTTAAGTTGCATATTTTGAGAAGTGAAAATATTTCAAACGAAGCTTAAAACTTCTATCATTATAGTAACTAAGATACATTCAGGATATATAAGTCAAGGAAACACAACACACAGAACAATGAATTAACATTTGCGAAAAGCTTGAACATACAGTAGATAATCCCAAATTCGGATACCCAACAATAGAAAAATATTTTGCTTTCCGATTTCCCAAATCTTTTTATTTTTACCTCACTTCTTTCTACTTCTCTTTTGTTTTACAAAATTATTTTTAAATAATGAACAGACATGAAACACATTATAACATTTACACTTATTTGCAGTTTATAAAGGAAGAAGGGATTACTGATAAATACTTCCAACTACTTTATCAGTTTATGTGGCAGTGGATGAAAATTTTATTTACTGTACTTTCTACAATTAACAGAAGTTAAAAAAAAAATTATGGGCGAAGGAGCTCCTAAAAGTTTAGATATTTTATCTACTTTATTTATTTTGAATTTCATAAAGGTTACCAAAATCAAAAATAATAATGATGATGATATATTTTAATTATTTTCTCTCAGATGCATGTACTGGGCCAAGCACCAGGTAGTTTTTGCTATAATAAATACACACTATTTTTGATTTCATTACATGTGAAACAATATATTTACACAGCAACTAAAAACTAGGACAGAGAAACGCACTGAAAACGAAAATTAAAAATAACTGTTTTAGCCTTTTTAATTTTCAAAAATTCTATTTACGGGTTTGTGAATCAATTTGTTGATAAAACAAAACAGAAACATGCTATCTTTTTAAGTATTCCCCCCCAATAATAAATATGAAAATGTTATGTATATAAGTGTGCAAAAAGTTCAGTATCTTTATTTAAGCATGAAAAAAAGTTATTCAGAAAATTCTACTCTGCTTTAAAAAAAGTTATTTAAAAATTCTACTCTGCTTTAGAAATACCAAAATTTCAGATAAGAATTTAGACACCAATTGAACATTAACATAAAGTTTGGCATTACGAAAAGACATGATTTAAGAAATAAAAAGGTCTACATAATACTTGTGTATACAATTCTCATATCATTAATCAATACAAATATCTAATACCTACATGTTTCCCATCAGTGAAAGTAATATAATAAAAACTACCAATACAAGCGTGTGGGGGAGACAGCAAAATGAATTTTAATAGAGTGCAGGTATTTGATGGTTCTGAAATTATTTTCTAAGCAGACATTTATAACGCTGTTTAAAACTCTTTCAGAAAAAAATTACAATCAAGAATTTAGTGTTATACATAGCTACAAAAGTTATCAAGTTAAATCAAGCTGTGAACAGACATAAAAAATATTCTCATACTTTTCTTTTCCTACATCTAAAAATTTTTCCAGTACTTTTTTTTTTAATGCTGATACAACACACACTTATTTACTGCTACATAATTAGTCATTTCTTTTGCGATACTGAGGTTTCAAAACAGAGATTATTCACATGCCAAAGTTAACTTGTTTCCAAGAGAATTACATTTTACATGTAGTTCTAATGAAAGCATGCATATAATTTGCATTTTTATCAGAAATCAAAGTTGGATTTCTTCTTTACTCGAAAGCATACATTATCTAGAATGGTTACCGGTGCTATTCGGAACTTGTCTTTAACCTGTTTCATGAATACTCATTGTGAAGTTCTTTTATAATGGAGGAGTGTGCTACCCTCCTGCGGACCATGCCAGTTAGTTCCCTTGGCCCTAAGGCTCCCCTCGTCTTCTCAAGGCAAGGTTGACAACTGAAAACTTCCTAGGCATGTCTGTGACCAGCTCCCCCCACTGTGTCCTTGCTGCGCCCTACATATACTAATAAAAACTGGAACATGGGTCTTTTGAATCTGCATCTCATGCAGAAAAGCCTCTTGATACCTATGAAGGTCCCCCCCTGGCACTAATGCAGCAGAGGATGTAGTAAGTTTTGAACAGCTACTTAAAGCATGAAATAAGATTCCGTGCACGTGAAATAAAAGAGGCAGCCATAAGTTGGACAGCGGCTCCCAGTGCATTTCCAGCACTAAGATTACAATAAATATCTTGAAACATAATACAAAATACTTCTCAATGAACCATTTTCTTTCTGATAATTTTTTCCAACCCTTTTGATATGGCATGTCGTCACGAATGTGTCAAACATGAGATTTGTTTAAGATGTTCTCTCGGGACAGAAGGAAGTCAAAAGCATTTGTCCCACAGTATGGGGAGTTTTGGATCACTAAGCTTAACTTCAGGGGGGAAATCACAAAACTAAATAAATAAATCCTAACATCATAATTTTTGGTTCTATTTTAGATTGTTACTTAAGTTGTCATTTACGTTAAATATTTCACAAATATATTATTAGTAAAATGTTATATAATAATATATTAGTAAAATATTTCACAGGAAGAAGAAGGTAAGCACTCGGCGAGCTCAGTCACTGACAAGATAACCCATATCAGAATCATTAGACACATCGCTTTCTAACTCTTTAAAAAACAAACCATCACTAACTAGCTCATTTACCATGCATGTATATCTTTCCTCTGATAAATAACACTTTCTCGCCATAATAAATTGAAGTCAATGCTTTCTGAAATAAAAAGCAAAATAAGCATAATATATTCAAAAGCAGAAACCCACATAACCCTAAAAGATCCTATATAGTAGTTGGGAGGGGGATAAAAAAGGGATTTGGTGGGATATTAGAAATGCAAATGACAAATGTTTAAATCACATGACGAGTTAATGAACCGAACTCTGTTCGTTTACATTATACTTTCAGTTCAGATACAGGACAGCATCTAGTAGTAATATGGTTCAACTTAAAACTCCATATGCATAACCCATCTCAAAAGCTCATTCTCCAGTGATGCAAGAGGGAGGGAAGTCTGGCTGTGAGAGACATTTGTAAGGAATGTGAATATGGGACGACTGTCTAGAAAAGGTTAAATTCCTGCTCAAAATTACTAAGCAAAAACAAACCATTTAAAGGATGAAAAGACATTTCAAACAGACTTTAGAAATATCTTACTATTCATTAATTAAAATCCCCAAAACGAAATAACATCACTGATATAGTGTAGCAGCTGTTTAACCTACACAGTAGAATATGGAAAGATGTTATAATAAGTTTACAAAAACAGAGCACTTTTCTACAATCAAATATTTTACTTCACAGTAACTGTCAGCGATAAGCATTAAATAATCATTTCTTCCAGTAATGTATCAATTACTGTTAGTCTGCTTTGCAATAAAGCATCTTTAAAACTTCAATTTTGTGCAAATAAACACATAATATGCATAACGTATATAAAGCTCAATGATTTTATAACATATAATACCTAAGACAGCACAAAATATTTGGACTTCCGAATTTGGGACAACGCACCATAATGCATAAAAAATTTAAAAGGAAAAATAGTGAAATACATATGAAATATTTAAATAAGAGTCGAATATAAATATAGAAATCCACATACAAATTTCAGTTGCTAAATGAATAGATGACTAAACACATATCAACATTTGGGAAAAATAAATTCATATAAATTCATTTATAACAATATTTATCCAGTATTCAATGTCAGGTCACAGAAAATTTTTCAACAACACAGAAGATAAAAATACAAGTTACATATTTAAGAACATTAAAATCGTGTACCATTGTGAATTATGAAATCTAAATGCTGTTTATTTACATATCCCCAGACAGAAAGAAATTTGGAATCATGCTTTTCTTGGGACACTGCAAAATGTACTAAAACAATAGCTTCTAGCGAAATCTGACGAAAGGCTTACAGAAAATTTTATGCTTCCTTTTAATTAGAAGTATTGACCAGTAATTTAAGTAAAAAGGGTAAAAGTGTACTGATTTTAACCATAACAGAAATTAAACATTTAAGAATTTTTACATTCTTTTTAAATCTTTTTTTTTTTTAATTTACTTTCTACTATTAAACTCAGCCAATGTTAAACTATTTTTTTCACTTTTAAGTTGCAGAAAAATAAATTAAATATATTTTGATTAAAAGTTACACTGAAACAGATTTAATATTTTGCCCATGATTTTTAATTTATTATTTTTAACTTCTATTTATTATAAGCTCTTGACATTAAAACTAAAATGATTTTGATTGTAATATCCAATCATTAGAATTCTTGCAAAGTGGTACAATATATGTAGAGACAATGAATGAAATTATTTAAAACTAATACTGATGAGTAGTGTAAAAAACTACTTTAAAAAGCTAGATGCATAATTTTCATTAAATATTTTAAAAGGTAACTTTACAATGATTAAACAAATGTTCTACTTTAAAGCTGTGAATGCAAAAAGCTGATAAGGATATTTTTCACCATTTTAAATTATTCATAATTTTTTGTAAAAGCTTTTAATACAACAGTGTTGCTATGTAAATTAGTAAACTGTAAAATCAAAGTCTAAATGAAAATAACTGAAACTGTACATAATTCTTCAAATAATATATATAAATAGTACTTTACAAAGGTTCGATTTCCTCCATATTTCTCTCGTCTGCAACTATCACCAAAGGTCAAAAATTATATTCTGTACAAGATAAAAAACTAGGAACAAAATCTACACAGCCTTATTTATAGAACTGGCAATGTTGTAGCTCAAACTCCTACTTTTTAAAGCACTTGTCAAATCTGATGTAAAGACATGAATATGTGTTTTCAATATCTAAGACTGCAAAATTTTAAAAAAATTCATCATCTGATTAGACATTCTTGTGGGGAGGGGACAATTCTACATCAGTCAAATTCAAAAGAACCCTGCTTTGGCACTTGCTGTCAGGTTAATATTTTTCCTTAACTGTAGATCATTGCATTAATAATTCGGTAGTTGACAACTCAACAGCAGATATCTTGTACTTGAAGATACAATTTAGTTTAGTTTGGTAGATTTCTCTTCTTCTAATATTTGCATTTTCAGAAGGGGAAATCAAAAGATATTTTCTACAATGTAGAAAAACTAAAATGCAATCCCTGCCATTTCAGAATTCAGGTACTGGCAGCATGCCATAGTGGCCAAGTGAATAATAGGAACATTGATAAGGGCAACTAATAGTTGTAATCTCAGATCTCAACTAAGCACAGGAGCTTATTAGTTCTAAGCCAGGACATACTTGACTTGAATATACAATAAACAATCACCAATATTTAGATAAAAACCCGTATTTTAATCAATGAACAGAAAATGTACGTGCAACTTAGCATGGATGTGTCCATTTAAAGCTGATTTTGTTATAAACCAAGTCATTTAAAAATACAGAATCCACTGCAGCCATTGGTATTCGTGAAGAAATAGTACAGTGTGGTTAATCCTAGCCCACTACAATTAATCTTGTGTATTATGAAATTTGTCTTTTTCACAAACAATATAAACACAGACACCAAATAAAATGCATATTGCAAATTTTTGAGAGTATGCAATATGCTGTAATAAAATGCAAAACTAGTAAATCATTACCTAAAAAATTTATCAATAAAAGCAATTGCAAAACACAGATTTAGGGGGACTTAATGAAGCTTCTGATGTGGCACACTTCCCTCCCCCTTGCACAGGCTAGAATTATGAAAAGCTGCTGCATACCAGAGCAGAGCCCACTGTAGTGATAAACTTGTACTAGCTGGATAGAAGGCACAAGGAAGTCTTGTAATTTACAAGAGGTATCTTGCAAGATTATTATCGCTTTTTTCAGGACACACATCCAGTCACATGCACAGTTACTCAATGATCTCTAATAGCAAATCGCTACTGACAAAGCCACCCTTCAAGGATTGAAGTTAGTCGTTGTGGCACATAATGTTATGACACTGTTTCTCCTCTGCCTATATGCTAGATTCTTTTGGCAGTAAAACAGGTTGAGATCTAGACACCGAAGCTACATCTGGGCAGACAGTTGAGGTAGCAGTAGAACAAGTTATTTCTAAAAATAAATAATTTACTGTTAAAAATTCAGGCTACATGAAAAAAGGGAAATGGAACATAAAATTCATCCATACAATTACAATAATAAAAACAATATGCGATTAACTACAATAATTTAACCACGATTTAAATAAAATATTAATAACAAAACATGCTGCTGATATTTGGAGATTTATCTGACACACAGATAATAGGTTATACCAGGGGTTCCCAAAGTTTGCCATTGGGGCATTATGCGCTTTGCCAGTTTTCATTAATTATACTTTCAAAAACATTTTTCATTAATTTTTTATTCTATTTCTTAAAATAGTAGTTATTTAAGTTTTTTTCATTATTAACATTTTAGTTTCCATCCAACTACATTAGAATTGTATTTGCAACATTTTTATTTCCCCTTTTAATCTAAAGTAATTTAATCAAGCAAGAGTGTGCCTTTTAGTGTGTTGAGATGAGAATTTAATCAAGCAGTTAAAAAATTCTCATCTCAACACACTAAAAGGCACACTCTTGTTTTAGGAGATTATAAAAATTCTGTTGTCATTCCCTTCTTTCCATCATTAGCTATAAAGTTGCACATATTTGCAGAAATTTAACTTTTGGGTTGTTTATATTCTCCCATCAATAAAATTCCGAGTTCCATACTCAAGGACCCCCCCATTCCGGATATGAATTCCTGGGGTATTTATAGGATTCCTTGCCAGTGTGGTTTAATTTACATTGGCCAAACTAAGAGAGCCTTAAAATTTCGCATCAAGGAACATGAGGCATATGTTAGGAAAAAGGAAACACAGAAGTCTTCTGTTGCTCAACACTGTTGGTCCGAAAACCACACTTTCAGTTTTTCTGCTGCCAAAATTATTCAAAAAACATCTTCCATTGGAGAACTGGATTTTCTAGAGGCATTTCACATTCATAAAAATCTTTCTGTTCTAGTTAACGATCCTAATTCCAATCCAAATTTGCCTTCGGCCTTTAAAGAAATTATGTTTTAGTTCTAGTTTCACCAAAAGATGGCGCCACTTGCTTATTCTTGTCCAGGCTTTCTTATCTTATCTAATCATTATTTCCTATCTTGTTCGTTTGCGGTTTTGCAGCTGAAGATGGTGGTTCGGTAAAACCATCGAAACTAGTCCTGTGAAAATTTTGTAAATATAACGCTGATTTTTGTTGTTTGACTTCTGAATTAGTATGTAGTTAGGATATTTATTAACATATAAAGAGTACACAGTCTGAATCATATCAAAGTGGGTACAAGAGAAATCCTTTTAGAGTAAAATATATGAAACCCAGAAATAATGGCAATTAAATTTTTCACTATTATGTATTTTTAAATGAGCAAATTTATATCAATACTTTACAGAAAAATTGAGAGTCAATGTTAGGATCTTGCTATCCTTCAGATCAGACTACTACAATCAAACCTCATAAATATCTATTCATTTAATGTATAAAATTCAAAAGTGTTGCTAAAATCGTTGTCCATAATTCAGCATACAAGTTACCTGCCCGGTGGGACTTTTTGTGAAGGACTTCCAAAGGCAAACTGATCCGCATATATCTCACACATAAAAAAAGACATTAAAATTAAATGCAGCCAACAGGAACTGAATCAAAGACCATCCACCAGTAATTATCTACTTAAGCCACTTGGCCCCCTGGTGAGCTTTCTCAATGGATGTTTAATGGAAGAACATCTAGTTTTAACTTTTTTGTTAATAAAAAGGGACAGCAAAACAATGCGGACTTGCATGTTACTGCATACCATATACAAGTATTAGTTGATATAACAATCTAATCATAATAGACATAATGAACAAAAAAAAAAAAGGCAGAAGTACAATCAAATGTTCCTAACAGAATATTTTTTAAAGAGAAATGTGCATATTACGTTCTCAAAACCAAGACTGATTACTTATTGGTAACGGGGGGAAGGGAGGAATTCAGCAATACTGAATTCTATTACAAATTATTTCCATTATATTACTGTTCATAAAACCTGAAGTTCATTAAAACCTTTTAATTCCATCTTAAAAAAGGTATTGAGCAAGTTACAATTTAAAAACGCAGATGTTGAACTAAAAACTCACCTTTCAGCATGTTCATTTGTGTTCCTTGGTAAGGAGGCTGAGTTTTATATAAAAATGATAATCGTTCTTGAACACAGCTGGCAGATAACCTAGCTTCAGCATCTTGATCCCAACATTCTTCAATAGTGTCACACAAAGAACTGATGCCCTGATAGGAAATAAATAAATAAAAAAAATTACAACAAATAAAATTATGACTTACAATATCAGAGAGGTATATATCAAATGGAAGACTTACGTGAATATTGATAATCCACAAACAAACGCTTATAACTAAGTTTTAAATTTTGGTGCTAATTTTATATTTTCACTGAAAAATATTCACTTGAAAAACTTTGGTTAAATATCCCTTTCTTCTAATCCTTCAGCGATTAAGCAAATGACAAATTCTCTCAACTGTTTTTTCAAACTTATTTATTCTGCACTACATGACACTTTTGTTAATTTGCACATTTTAAAATTATTTAAGAAATAAAAATATTATTTAGAATATTTTACAGAAAAAATAAACATTAAAAATTTAATATCTGATAAAAAAAACACATCAGCATTTAACACTTTACATAAAAGAAAATAGCCATAATAAATCATCAAACATTTTCTTTTAAGTTTACGCTTGAGGGTTATATGCCTAAAAGGAGGGTTACCTTCATGGAGGACTTTCTAGAGGAAACTGGGTTGTAGTTATGTCACACATTGGGGAGAAATCTGAAAACCAAATACGTAGCCAGCCTGTTCAACTGTGATCGAACCCAAGTCAGGTCGAACTATCAGTATTCAGTGCCCTCTATGGAGGGGCCGACTTTATGCATATACTATTTAAAACAGCAAAGGATAATTATCATTCTTCATAATTTGGTGTAGATATCATCATAAATCTTCCAACTGATGGAAAAATTGGCATACAGTTAATCTTTAACTGTAATGATATGGGAACTTGAGCACCTCTTTCACACTGTAATTTATCTCACAGAGGGAATGTGTCTGCATGTCTGACTTCATTATTATCAGTGAAATTTATCTCTAAAATGTATTTACCAGTTTTTTTATGTAAATACCTGACTGAACATTTGAAATGTATTGCAAGAAGTATTATTTATAGGTTCACATATGATTCATTCACTTTTTGCATCTGCAGGACCTGTTCATACATTCATCATACATAATAAATAGATTTGTTTAATGCAAATTAAGGTATGTATTTTCAGTTGGTATGTAATTTTTAATGAGAGTAATATAGCTGTGTTGTAACCACAATACAGTTATTAGGAAGATATTTACACAAGTAAACCATTAATGAATTATTCATTTTTGCATTCGATCTCCGAAAATTGTCAAGTGAAATAATAATCCAGAATTTAACAAAACTAGAAAAGGAGCAATAGGCAAAGCATTTCTTTTACATATTTGAAAAACTGAAGTCAAATTTTTAATGCAAGGAGAAAATGTTCATGCTGCAAATCATCATACATTTCATGCAACACTGTCTTCGGAAAGAATTGATTCAAATTTTTTCTAGAGCTTATTCGGCTGCAGTAAAAGCCAGACTATACGACATTCAACTGAAATATATTTCCCTGGAAATTTTGTATATAAAATAATTTTCAATGCCATTATAGAGCTTTTTATACTACATTAGTTATCATTAATTAAGGAAAATTCCCAAATATGATGATTACTCAAAAAGTTACATGTAGAATTTAATGAAACTGACCCACAGTATACAACACATAGTAAGGTATCAAATAGCTTAAAAAAATTACCAGACAATTATGGTGCTACAGAAATTAGCATATGTAAAAAATGGACAAATCAGATGTGTTAATTTGGTATAGGAAAATTACCTTCAATATGGAGTATGACCCCCCCTAGAAGCAATACAACACATACAGCGATGTGCAATGCTGTCAATTATGCCAGTCTATAAATTCAGTATGAAGTGAGAGCCACTGCTCTTGCAAAGCAGTTGCAAGCATGGCAAGGGTCTGAAGAAGAGGATTGAGATCAGCTATACATCTTCCTAAAGCATACCAAACATGCTCGATACAATTCAGGTCCGGTGATCAAGCTGCCACTCGAAGTACTGAATGGTTGGCTGCTGAAGAAAATCAATCGTCCACAATGCAAGCCCCGTGCAGTCTAGCATTTTTGTCCTGTAGCAGAAAATTATTACCTGTTGCCCCAGCTTAAGGGTCCACATAAGGATCAAGGATATCTCTACAGGCCTGAGCATTCATGGTTCCACGTTGAAGGACATCAAGTTCAATGCATCTACTCAAAGAGATACCACCCCAAACATTGTCCCTTCCATACGTATCTCTTTCATGGATGCTTGATGGATGATAACAGGCTCCAGGTCCAAATCAAATAACACCTACTACTGCTTTGCACACATCATACATTTCCTGAACATACAAACCCGGACTCAGAGAAAAGCCTTCTATTGCTCAACTATCTAGTGGACATGTTGGCCTGCTTGCCTGCCTCAAACGTTCCCCTCTGTGACGTAACATGAGCAAAATACAAATGGCTGATCACCTCGTGTAGAGACCTCCTTCATGAAGCCTTCAACGCACAACTGACATTGACAAAAACCATCCATTGGCTACCAAAAAGGAGGATCTGGGTTGACTTGGTGCTGAGATTCTACTCCTTCGTGTGCATAACAACAAATATCCATCAGCACTTGTAGTGGTTGAACCTGCAAGATGCTGAATCTGTGGTTAAAAATTTTTGCCAAAGTCTATGAACGACAGAAGGACTCGCATTTAGCCATCTGGCCACTTCCATCTTATTTTGTCCTTCCTCTAGTCTACCAATAGCTCACCATCGCAGTTTTTCAGGCAAATGATTCCTGGAGGTCATTGTTACAAATTGGCTATCCCAGATTTCTTATCTCAGTATCATAGTGAAATTTGCAGGGTTGTTCTGAAACATGTAAGACCTATGAAACATGTAGACATGCAATTTTATGCTCCTCGCAGATGACGCATTTCGACTGCAATGCCTCTAATTTGCATACTGCGGTTTTACTCAATAATTTTTATTTTACAACATATTCAAATTTTACAAGGATTGACTTAATGAGTTATCACTATTTTCGTAATTTATCCTTAATTTTTGGAAACCAGTGTATTAACATATATACATTGTGGCAAAATAATGTGATTTAGTTACAACAAAGGATGAGCACGACATCATGACACAATCACAAGCATTTCACTTTATTTTAAATAAACTCAATTCTCAACAAACTGGTTAAACTTTTTTAAAGAAGGATATAAGTTCTATTTTTTGCTTAATATTTGGGACATTTTGAAATAGAGTACTTTCAAAGTTACTGGTGCAGGGCATCAAAAAAAAGGGTTACGATATGCAACTTTGAAAACAGATAAACAACAAAAAAGGCCACAATATGCGACTTCGAAAGCCAATAAACAATGGCAATGTCACATGAAAAATTATAAGTAATTTATGTTTTTTTTATACATTATAGCCATAATTTGTATTTCTTTATTACCTAAATAGATAAAGAATGATCTAAAGAGAAAAGAAATACGCCAAAGTAAAACTTATAACAATCTTGTGCTTGGTGCAGCTTTTAATTGAAATTATTGAATTTGAGAGTAAGTAGACCCTCTTCATCAGGAGCAACTAAAACTAATTTTAGCAACCTCCCGTCAACTTCATCTTTGCTGTCCTTGTTGCTCCTGACAGAGAGGAACCTGTACCTGTTCACCCTTGAAATTGACAGAGTTTCAATTAAAATCACAAAGTTGTTTCGCCTTATTTTAAAGAACCATCTCTTCGTTTAAAGTTCTGCCAGAATGAATGGCAACATCTTCAGCAACTTTTACATTCAGCAAGATTATATATTCAAATCAAATGCTTTATCTTCATGTTTAAGGCCCATCAAATATGTCTACTTTTAACGCAAAAATGCATTTCTTTACTCTGTATTTGATATAGTTTTAAATGTAGGTTTTTCATATTAAGGTTGCTAGACTGTTTCTATAATTTATGAGTGAAAATGTTTCCCCATTCATTTGGCGTTTCTAATGCAAATTCCATTTTTACATGGTCAAGTATCTGGAATTCTGCATTTCCAGAGCTTTGTTGGTAGTCGGGTTTTTATTATATATAACAGGAACAGCTAATTTTATCTTATTTGAAGTCTCATCTTTTCATAAACTATTTTTAGCATTTAAATATACATCTATCACTGTATCTGTGAAATAGTAAAAATTCTTTAGGAAATAATTCCGTATTTAGGTATTAACATAACCACCTCAGTAGAGCTCCCAAAATTTTAAGAATACACCAAACTGGCAATCATGTGCATAATCATTCTTCTGGCACCCAGCCTCATAACAATCCTTTTCAGTTAAGCAATACTGCTACTTTCGTATGTGTTCTTTTTTGCTGTATTCCAAGTTCCAGTGTTGTTTTTCCCAAACTAATTGTGATACTTTTTCCCTCAGTTTCAAAATATGAGCTTGCGGAATTTCCCAGCAATGGAAGAAACTATGGAAAAAAACTTTGCAAGAATATAGAATTTTGCTGAAAAGTTTTTTAATGTAACCAACAAGCATATACGTTTCTTTGATCGCCATTACTGGCGAGGATACCATGAAGTTCGAGTCTCCACACTTCACTAATATGCTTTAAGTGAAAAGATACCACTGTGTATTCTTCAGAAGGACAGTGCAAAATAATTACAAAAAGATTGAAGAATGTGTTTTATTTTTTTAATGTGTCATAATTATATGATACATAGTTAATAACTCAAATTTGTATTTTTAAATTGATAAAGTGTTTTTGTATGTTGATAACCTTTACCAAATTACAATAAATATCGATAATTTGGGAATATTTCTTAAAAAAAAAAAGATGCGAAAACCACTACTTGGCACCTGATAAGTAACTTTTACCATTTCGTCTCTAACAATAACCAAACTGCACAAATGTGATTGCATTAATACCCAAGTACCAATAATTCTAAAAAAATATTCATCTTATGATACATAAATTTTTTAAGGTTACATAAAAAAGGGTATTAAAAAATGCAAACAAGTTTCTTAGAATTTAAATTTTTTAAACAAATTAGAATATACTTAAATGAAGCCTGAATATATATTGCCTAAATAAGCAACCCATAATATTGTGAAATGTATTTATGTGTAGCGTGTAAATTCATCTTTCAAAATTCAATAGTTATTTTTCTGGTTATCACTTATGCTGATTATATTTTAATAAAATTCTGAAGCAGACAGCTGAACAGTATCCACTGGCTGTAAAAATTGTTGGCTGCTGAAGATAATCAACCACAATGTGAGCCAAAACATGCTCGATAGAATTCAGGTCCGGTGATCAAGCTGGCCACTCAAAGTACTGAATTGTTGGCTGCTGAAGATAATCAATCATCCACAATGCAAGCCCTGTGCAGTCTAGCAGGAAATTATCACCTGTTGCCCCAGCTTAAGGGTGCACATAAGGATCAAGGATATCTCTACAGGCCTGAGCATTCATGGTTCCACATGGAAGAGCAAGGAGTTCAATGCGTCCACTCAAAGAGATACCACCCTAAACACAGACACTGCCCCTTCCATACGTATCTCCCATACATACATAGTACATAATACATATATATGTACATATAGTAAAGTTTTTGTATAAGAACTTTAAAACTTAAAAAGGATGGAGATAATATATAAAGTGGGTACATTAGGTAAGAGATAAATAGCGCTAATAGCTGCTATTTAACATATCAAATATTGTATGAACTTAAATCCATTTAGTGCGAATACAAGTTATTATTACTTGCGCAATTGCTGCAAAGTTAGTTAATAATAATTTATTTCCTAAACAGTATTGATTAATTGATTATATTATCTCCTAAGTTTAATTAAAGTAGAATTGTTTTAAAAATGTGCATCCATACTCGTACATAAGGTTGTAAAAAATGTAAGTATTAGGACTTTTGCTTTCTCATTTAAATATTTTAGTTATGAAGTGCATTTTATGATTAGTGTTATTCTTTTCATTATTATTAATGTAATAAAATTGTATTAAAACATGGCTTATCTGGCTAGCTTTTATCTATCTCTGATGCTACATGCTTATAGTAAGCATGCAGCTCGAAAGGAGAATATTAGTTGTTCTTAGGTTGACTGTGTTGCTTGAAAGGAGAATATTAGTTGTTCTTAGGTTGACTGTGTTAATAACTTTTCAAAGCTCCTCTAATTCCACATCTTTTTTTTTTTTTTTTTTTTTTTTTTTTTTTTTTTAAGTGAAAAGAGGTCAATGTATACACTGGAAAAGTAAGTGTTTTACTATGGATTTTTTTTTTTCATTTCTGATTTGACTTATTTATTACTGTTTTATGTTTTTCTTAGTGCAGTAATATTTTTTAAAATGGCTATTGTCTTAGTTTGAATAACCATTTTTTATGGAGGGAAAAATACTGCTCACGCCAGATCTCTTTTGATTTGGGAATTATTTGAAGTTTCAATCCTCATGTGTCATGGTTACTATTCTTTGTCTAATCCCCCCCCTTTATGTACAAACCTTCTTCAAAATGCTTCAAAGTATACTGCTCTGCAGCTGAATGCATACATTTAAGTTTTAGGCAATTTCAACTGAACAGTTTCACTTCTTATGCAAAAACAAGGTTTCAGAGATTTGCTAAGTCCCATTCTCTACATTCTAACAATTTTTTGAAGAAATATTTTAATTTTCTACATTATGTAACCTTCTAACAAAACTTAGTTGTTCCATGATTCAAATAAAAAAATCTTTTTCAAACCGTAAAACAAAATTCAAATTTTTGCATTTTCTTATTTAGAACAACATAATCACCGGTCCCCTCACTCCTAAAAATCCGTCACTTGCAGCTAGCTTACTTTGAAGAAAACTTTAAAAAAATGTGAAAAGGTGCCTAATACTTAAAGACAAGGCTGCATTACACTTTCTTCTTTTCATAATAAAGAGACAAGCAAAGCATTTGAAAAAAAAAAAAAAAAAAAAAAACTTAATTTGAGTCTTCCAGGGAAAAGAATTTATTCCAAAGTAAATATTCAGCTAGTATTTTCAGTGCATTGTGAAATTTATGATGCTTAAAATTATTCTGAATTTAAGCAACTGTTATTTTATAATCTCAGTCATACATAGACTGCACTTATAAAATTAAAATTTCACTAATAGTAGGTGCGCTGCTTAATTGTGATCACGATTGTCCATGACTGTTTTGATAACACTGAGTGATGAGAAGAATTTCCTTCAATATATCATCATATTAACTAACATATAGTTAGAAATATATAAATTACCTACTTTCATAGCATTCTAATTAGGAAAAACTAATTAACAGTTAATTGTTTGGAACTGTTCAAAAATTAATTTATGATTTGTGTATATTCATTATGTTTATGGAACGAATGTTATAGTTCTAATCGTAATACTCACAAGCCACTTTTCATTTCAGCGTTAATAGAACCTTCACTTATCTTCAAATTCATATCTCAAAATTTAGTCCTCATCATCTTCAGATTATTATAATAATGCGCTTGGATTTGTTTCAGAAAATAGGCAAATACAGGTCAAGCCTAAAACAGTTCTTTATTGTTTTTTCTGAGCGGTGATTTTAAAACTTAAGTGATACTTTAAATTTTCCGTGTTTTGCAATACAAATGAGTGGGACTTTGATAACTCGATAACAATATCCGAAATGTAACAGTTAACCACCACCACATTAAGTGGCAACTACCATACGTAAAAATTAGACTATCATAAAAATCACTGACCGGATGCTTTCTCCAGAATTCTTTAAACTTTGGTCTCATTTTTTTTTGTGATACAACTTCCTGCATGTCTTCCAAAGTTGGATGCTGGCCAACAGTGTCTTCAAATGGTAGCATATATTGATCGACAGGACCTTAAAACATTTAAGACAAAACTGGTGTAAGAAATCTAACACATGGTTAAAAAAAATCATCCATACCAAGAGAAAGTAATCATGATAAAACACACACACACACACACACAGAAAGGAAAAAAAAACTAGCACATTTTAACAAATTTTACCTTCAAGAAGTAATCAATGCAAACTGAAAACTAGTTAATCAAAATGAATATTAAAAATTCCCGTTTTTACAGCAAAGAGTAAAGCACATTTTCTTTGCTTCTAAGTAAAATTGTTCACTAGTATAATACATGACCATATGATTATCTGCAGCTTTTATGTGATAGTGTATAATTTAGTTAAGAAATTATGGCAGGGATATTCTCATGAAACATATCATAAATGTAATTAAGTCAAAATGATTACAATGTCAAGATCTACTGCTCAGATATGAAATATTACTGCTTTCTATGAGCACAGGCACACAAACCTTTCGAAAAAAGAAACATGTATAAAACTCCAGCTTATTTTAGACAAAAATTAATGCATTAACTTTCTTTATTTAATCTTTCGATTAATAAGAAATGAATTTCAATTTTGGCATGCAAGAGTTTCATACAGTATGGAACACATCAATATAAACATCAAATGGCAAAACATCAACCACTGGCAACCTTGGCAAAACATCAACCACTGGCATAGGTTTTAAATCAAATTTTATTCTAAAGGTGATCAGACACAGGTCTTTCTTCTTCAGTGGCAGGAAATGTCTGGAAAGCAACTTCTTGAATTTTTCTTTCTCCTGATGAAGAGTGACCTTCGTCTGATTGTCTTTGAAATCAATACAATTTTATTTATTTGAAATTAATGTAATTTTATTTAAAATCGACACTAAAATAAGGCTGTTTCTTTCCCTAATTTAAAATACAACAGTTCATTGGCATGCGTTCAATTTAGGTTTACCTTTAAAAATGCACTTGTTAAGAAGTCATGAAGTATTTAAATATTGAAAAATTTAATTAAACAATTAAATTATATGCTTGGGAGGCATCAGAAGTAAAAATTTTTAAGTTATAAAAATATATTAAAAATTTTCAAATAATTTTAAATAAAAAATTTTAATACTATACTTTAAAAATACAATAAAATTTAAATATTACACCTAAAAAATATTTTACTGTGCTGATTTGGGAGGCACAGAAGTAAAATTTTTTAAGTTATAAAAATACATTAAAAATTTTCAATAATTTAATAATTAATTAAAAGATTTCAAATAATTTAATAATTAATTAAAAAGATTTCAAATATTTTAAATAAAAAATTTTAAATACCATACCTTAAAAATATTTATAAAATTTAAATATTACAGCTAAAAAAATACTTTTTACTGTGCTATTTACAAGACATATATGCCTTCCTAAGCCACAAATGATTTTGAACTTTTTATTATCAGCAACACAAAGAGGTTTGCACTATTCATAAAATTTAAGTGCCTTACAGTAACATAATCAGATGCACTGAAATTACTTGGATTAATATTAAAGTTTCCACTCAGATTTGTTAACTCATGCTTTTGACATATTAACTCATGCTTTTTTCACACTTTTTTTATAACTGGATAATAAAATACTGATTATAATCATTAAGTAACTGGTCTTACTGCAATATCTGATGTATGTTTCCATTTGCTATTTTTTTATATAATGGCTTAGACTGGTACTGCATCGTCATAACAGATGCAAAGTATCTTTTGGGGAGAGGGTGAACAAGATCATCACTGCGCAGATTCAGTTTGCCCAGTGATGTGATTCAGTTCAAAGACAGCATAGATATAACAAATTTTGCACTGCGAATGAGAATAAACGATGAAGATAGGCATAGATGAATTTTTATACTAGGAACCTCTTTCAAACAATACAGCAATGAGTGAAATTTTAAAGAAAATTCATAAGTTTATCACTAGCCATAAAATAAATTGGAAAAGATGTGTAGCACTGTCAGCTGATGGTGCACATTCAATAACAGGTTGTCATGTTTAAGTTTTCACCAAAATTAAAGAAGCTGCACCAAATACTTTCTATCATGTATATAAGTACTATGTACTTAATATAACATAATATAGTATTTATAATTAATTATACTATAAAAGTTTCATTTATAAACACTCCATTTGGGACACAGCAACTGCTGCAGTCAACAGGAGGATGACCTCTCACAACACTTGTATTTTATGTTTTCTTGCATTTTGTTTTTCAAACTATTGCTACTACTGCTTATTTGTTTATTTCTCATGTTTTTTAAATTTCACATCTCTTTATTTCTCGTATTATTCCTCTAATGTTATATTTCATAAGCATGGGCTTCAAAATTTTGCATTCCACTGCATTTTCCTTATATAGGATGATTTCCAAAGTTTTGCATGCCAAGTTCCTGTAATACAGGTCATTTGTCAAAACATTACTCCACTCAGTCTTGCCTAAACATCTCGTACCTATTTATCAATGTGCAGTTGCCATATTTTGTTGATTTTCTTTCATAAACAATTTGTTTTCAAACAGCAACTAATCAGCAAGACAAATATATGTATATTTATGTGAATGATAAACAGTGTGAAAATTATAATTCAACTCTAGTATGAACTGAGGCTCATGGAAACGTCTTTTTCCATTTCTGACTTTGCATCAATGCACAAGTGAAGTTCAGTTTAAAACATGCTTATCATTCAACAAAAGGGAAATCATTTCACACAGCTACTTAAGTCTCACTGCCTGATATTATGAACAAGTTTCCCAAAAAATTCAGTAAACTAAAGGATACATTTGAAAACAAAAGGGTATTATTTAATATATTAGAGTGAATATTTTTCAGTTCATCATCACTTTTCATTTAATCAAATACAAAAACGAAAGGATCTAAAAACTTACATATTATGGTGCTCAGAGATGGGAATAAAATATTGTTTCAGTAGTGAGAATAAACATTGTTTCTGGCAAGAGGTGACAGAATACACAGAAACAAACTTTTCAGCATGAAACATATGGTTTCAAATGAAACAATTATGTGCCACATAATGTGTTCCATTTCGGTATACACACATTATCTAACACAGTGGTTCTCAACCTTTTGATTAATGCATACCATCTAAACTAAAGTTGAACAAATATAGTACCAAAACTTCATTTTACAATGATTATTTTTCAATTTATCAATAGAAATATTAATATATTGCCATTTGCATAACCAATGTGCTCTTTGTATTAAATATGTAAATATAAAAAAAAATATTAGATTAAAACTTTGGTTACCATTTTATTTATCAAATTTAAGTTGTAGTTTAATGCTAAAATTTAGTGCGAAATTTGGGCCTCTTTAAGAGAGATCAATTTCTTTTATGTTTGGTCTTATCTCTCACTCAGTTTTAACCATAAATTAGATTCCACTTTTAATTTTGATCCTATTTATTTTTCAAATATAATATGGAAGAAAATTCTGGTTCACACAAATAGGTTGTGCAAAAAGGCAATAAAAATTTAATAGCTTTTTTGAAATACTGTTTTTTCTTTGGTTCAGCCAAAAATTAACAAGTGTGTTATTTTTTTAATTTTCAGTTAGAGTTTAAGGACAGGAAATTTCTATCTGTTTTTTTTCTTCACGAGATAAAATTTTGGGTACTGAACTAAATGGATTTCTAACCCATTTTCTTTTTCATAATACTCTGGAAAATACATATTGAAATTATCTATCAATGATGTCAGATCCTAATTCTTTTATTTTCAAATTATTTTTGGTAAGAAAACTAAAAAAAAATTTTAAAAAAATGAATGCTAAAAAGTAAAAAACTTAAAATATTTTAATCCATTTCTTTGATTATTAATTCAAGCTTATCACTGCATTTATTTTATCTCTAATGGTAAAAAAATTTACACTCTGTCCTTGTAAGCCTACATTAATTCATTTAAAACTTTCAAAAAATATCAGCTAAATATGCTAAATGCACCATCCATAATTCATAAAATAGAAAATTTAGCAACTTATATTTTGAATCACGGAGGAAAGTTTGAATTTCTGATCAAAGTTCAAAAAGACGATTTAAAACCTTGCCTCTTGGATAACCATCTTATTTTGGAATGTAACAAAAGAGCTGAATGTTTGCTGCCCATCTCTCGGCATAAAATCATAAATATGCTTGAATTTCAAGCTCGGTCTTTAATAAACTGAACAACTTTTACAGCTTAATTCAAAACTAATTTCAGGTTTTGGGGGATTCTTTTGGCTACTAAATCTTTGCAGTGAATGGAGCAGTGAGTACATTTAATTTCAGACGTGACTTTAATCGAGAAATTAATACCAGAATGTTTTCCTGTTAAAGCCAGAGCTGCTCCATCACTGTGTACGATAATTCACTTGTTCCAAGGAACATTGTTCTCAGACATAAAATTGTCAATTACTTTGAAAATTTCATTTGCAGTTGCTCTATCATAAAAAGATTCACAAAATAAATACTCTTCGTTTACAGATTCTTTGAAACATATGTAAACTAATAATTGAGCAAAGTTCATTATATCAATACTTTCATCCAACTACAATGTGAAATACTCACTGTTTTATTTTTTAAATAAGCTTCACTTTTATGGAATTTGACATTTCATGAATTAGTCAACTTATCATTTCATGATGGAATATTATTAAGTTCATTGGCCACTTTTTCATTGAATAATATTAAAACAATATGTTTAGGTGATGGTAGTATAAGGTTTTCTCCAATAGTGTGAGCCTGCCCAGTCTTGACAAACCCAAATGATAAATAACTTTCATTATATTGTTGCATGCGTATGGGTTCATACGCAAGCAACAATAGATAGAATGCTTAAGTCCGATACTAAGTTAATGAAATTTTTTTTATGAAAAGAAATATTTCAGAACTCTGGAATTTTCCACAGAAATATTGGTACAGGTGTCACAATATCACAGAGTACAATCAGTAGTTACGCTTCAAACTAGTAAAAATGTTAAACACAATATAAAGCATAAAACACATGCAAAGCGCATCTAAAGAGAAAACTAACTCAGATATCTCTTTTCATGTGGAACTAAACAACTTGTAACAACAATAACTAAGCACCTGAGTGCAGATGCTCTCTCTTAAGTCTTAAATTTCTCTTGCGCTATATTACACAGAAAAATACAACAATTTTACTTCTAATTCTACTAAAATTATCCATCTAAGCACAAAATTTTCCATAAACAATTTTTCTTTTCTTTTCAATATTATTAGAACTACTATATTGTCGTAGATCCATCACCTGTGAATTATCATTTTTCTGCTTAGTCAAACCTAGCCATTTTTCCATTTTGAAAATGAAGGTTGTTTTATTATTTTTTCACAAACATTTAAATGCACAATATATTGAGAGTTCTTCAAAAACAAACGATATTCTCAAATCGCACAGAAAAGTAAGAAATACAAAGCAAGAAGAAGACAAAATACCAGTTGTAGACATCGAAATTATTCTAATTGTCTAATTTATATTATTATAAAAAAATTATTCTAATTGAAAATAGAGCAATATGAGCACGGAAAATGGTGATGACATAAAGTGTGGGCATGCTAATAAATCTATCAATGCTAAAGGAATGAGATACTATTATCTTTTTATAGGAATTTATTTCTTATTAGATACAACACCCATTTGTATGACTCCTTTTAAAAACATCATTTATGACAAAATTTTGTTCTGTCTATGGCTGAAAGAATACTTGTGAAGATAAAAATGGATTATATTGATAGTCTATGAGCAGCTATCGACCTTGAACAAAGCTCAGATCACATAAACTAGTGTTAGAGAAAAAAAAAACTTAAACAGGGTGTTGAGGTACTTAATTTTTTTAATTTAATACTTAAAAATACTTTGTTTTATTGTGTACCACCTATTTTTATCTTGCTTACCAGCGGCTCAGAATGGCTGATCTTCAAACATGAGAATAAGACATGATGATAAGATGTATTGCACAAAAAAATATTTCTAAAAATCCAGGTGAAATTTTTTGAATAATGGCAAGACTATTCAAGAATTTTTGAAATATTTTAGCATAAAAATCTGCCACGTGGAACACAGTAAGATCGTGGCAGAATGTGTCTCCAGTACTTTAGAAAATGCTGGCGTAATTTATGGCCAACTGCCATATTTCATGGTGAGGGTGGTGATGACAGCTATGAATTTGAAGGCTTTTGGATACTGCAAACCACAGATGAAATTTTCATTAATGGATTTTGTAAAGAAAAGCGGAGAAGAGGCAATAAATGAAGATGATATATCAGAGATTTTTCATTGCGATGGCATTGCTGCAACCATCTTTAAATCAACAGACCGTAGAATCTGTAGTATGGTTTTAGATCCAGAAAATATTGCTACCGATAGTGAACTGATGTTATTCAAATCAAAATTTCAATTTAGTCAGAGTTCTCGACACAGCACCTACAGGACTTGAAGAGTGGAATTTTGTAACTGATCAAGAAATTATCTCTGTCTATAGAATTGAAGAGAAAGTATTAACATAAAAAACGAAGCAACTTAAAACAATTTACATCCAAAGAAATGTTTAATAAACAAACATTAAGTTTTTTTTTTTTTTTTTTAATTTTGATACTCTTTAAATCATAAATGCTTCATTATTTCATTATTTCATAAATCCTGAATTCATATTCTTAATTTTATAATTTCTACATGCTATCTTACTAGATTTAAACTGTTGATCTAACCCAAAAAGATTCCAAATCCGAAATTGCTGAAGTCCCAACGAGTCAGATCTCAGACTTTGTACTGTATTGATTAAGCTTCAGTCGTAAATTTAAAACTTAACATCAAATTTTCCTGAAATTGTTATTTTAAAAAAATGACTGCCATGAAGCTTTAACTTTTCACAGAATATTTTTTAGAGTCATCTCATTTAAAAAAACACAGGTTCTGCAACATCACATGTATTTTCCCTATTATTTGTAATTCAGTTTTATTTAATCTAATTATAGATTTTTCCAGTCTTTTTTCTCACAAAGATGGTTCAAACCAGAATTATTAATCAGTTTGCAGTATCAGCACTATAATAATTTAACATTTTAGTAGGCTATTTCTATGGGAAGAGTAATGAAAAATTACTTTAAAATTTACACCGAATACTTCTATTTCAGATATCGGTATTTAAAAACACAAGTTATTTTTTATCTATACTCTTACAGTTACATTTCAGTACTTTGCATTCTGTTTATGTACATACAAATTATTTCAACACTAAGGACTTATTTTCTTTAATTACTAATTAAATTATACTTTAAAAAATAAAAAGCTTGAGAGATGCATTTAAAACATTATGTAAATTGCAATTAAAAGAATACCTTCTTGGGCTGAACACCTGGATAACAATTCCCAAAGCACCAAACCACAAGCATACATATCTATCCTCAAGAAAGCATCTCTATTAAAGTTTATCGCTCCTTCCAATACTTCAGGTGCCATATACCGACGAGTGCCAACCTTTAAGTAAAAATATTACACAACACTCAAATCATTTCTCAGAAACAGCACTTAAATTTAAAAACAGTATGAACTTGAAATCCAATCTAAATTTCAAATTTTAAATACATAAAAAGTTACGCACAGTGCACCAACAAAAATTACCACATATAATGATCATATATACAGCAAAAATATGTTAGCACTCAATTCAAAATCATGACTTCATAGTCAGTGACTCAAGCTTAAAACTCATTTAACTCGATACTTCACTAGCTAAATTACCTTTATCAATGCTAAACTTTAGAAAATTTCAGTCCACTTGGAAACACAGCATGAAACTGCACCTCTCTAAACCCAAACAATGCAAATTTTTTTGGAAAAATCCTCAGTTATCAATAAGTAATGTATTATAATAGCAGTAAATTCATTTTAATGTACCAAACTTATAATTTATATGAATATATATACTACATCATAAAATATATGATGGTTTTACTTTCTAGGTTTACCTTTAGTGTCCTAAGTTTAAACAATTACCTTCATCGCCTAAAATAACCTAACAATTTTAAGAGCTAAGAATAACTACATAACATACCTCAATCTCATTGCATCTTTTATGATTCTTTCATATGTCTTAAATAGTGCTAATAACGTAGTATGTCTAGTAGCATTACTAAAAATTTATATGCAGGACACAAATAAAATTAGCATACATACTGTAGTTAATATGAACTCGAATATGGCACAAAAGAAACATTACTACTGTGTCAGTTATATTTTTAGTTTGAAATTTTCTGCTAGTTACAGCTAACAAATATTCCTAAAGTTAACGCAGGAATGATAAAACTATATTAGTTACATGCTGATGATTTCTTGTATATTCACTATCAAATGACATCAAAAATTCCATATTAATATTACTCATAAAACTTGGGTCACCCAACCGGTATAGTCGCTTGCGTCACTGACTGCCTGGGTTCGAATCCCAGAATCTTATCATTCGCCTTTTTCATGTCAAAAAACATTTAAATTAGATTTTTTTCACAAAGGCTTTGTGAATGGATATTTCTAAATGGAGAATGTTATTGATGTTATTTCTTCCTTTGCAGAAGCCACTCTTGATACACGGAGATTACACACCAAATATCTTGGTCTACTTTTGTTGCATGGGAATCAAAATTTTTTTGTATGTAAGTCTGTAAAAATTTATGTATGGAATTTGTCGACACCAGGTATATTACTTGCAATATGAGTAAAAACAAACAACACACTTTACTCATATAAAATACTTTCAAATGAACTAAAGCTCTCATTTAAATTTACAAAACATGGCAAAACAGGTCAAAAGACTATAAGTCAAATATATAAATTCAAGCTGCATAAAGTGAAATAAAAAAGTGGTCATAAAGTGAAAGAATGAACCTCTGTTTTTCCTTCCTTCATTCACATTTTAACTGCAGTATTTTTTTAAAAAAAGCTACAAATATTACTCCTGATTTTGCTGTAAAACTACATGCCATTTAAATTTTTAAAAACCTTTCCTCCTTGAAAATTCATAATCTTTTTATTACATTGCAATTATTTTTATTGTGTAATTACCATAAAAGAATATTGCAACTGAAATTGGATACATTTTAAATGAACCTGCTATAAAAATGTACATTCAAGTATTTTTATGGGGAATGGAAATGTTAAACAATGAATCTCTGTTGCTTGCATAATGAAAATGTATCACATTTTAATAAATTACAGGAGCAAAAATAACATTCTATTATTAGTCAAAAAAATCAATACTGAAATTATGTAATTGTCTGTTATAATTGACAGTTCTGCATTTCAGCAAAATGCATTCTTGAAACCTTAGAAAAAATTAGGCAGAAGCAAGACAAACAAATTTTAAAGGTAAGTTGATATTTATTTAAGTACTGCATTAGCACCACAGAAACAATTACCTGACCATGTGCTTCTCCAGGGGGTTGTCCTTGATAAAATACTAAAGCCAAACCAAAATCAGCAATACATGCAGTCATATCATTCTTTATAAGCACATTTTTGCTCTTGAAATCTCGATGTGCAATTGCTGGTTTGTAGCCCTCTCCCTTCATTGCAGGCAGTTCTTCATGCAGATGCATAAGTCCCTTTGAAATGGAATCAGCAATACCAAGGACATCTCCCCAATTAACAAGATTCGCCTAAAACAAATTAATGTTTTCACATCATATAGACATTTAAATGGCATTTTTAATAAACTGCACATAAGGAGTATAATACTTAAAATTCAGTTCAAAGTATGAAAATAAGTGAATTATGACACATTTTATTATTGATCCTTTAAATACCAAGCCCTCTACCATCTTCCACAGTCCGTACCACATTGTATTTCATTTGAGATTGTGATTCCCACTTTCTGTCTTCTCAATCACCCATGAAAGAGATCTGAAGCTTTCAAAGACATCTTTTACAAGTTTTTTTTTAAAAAAAAAAAAAAACTCAAATCCTTATAGCATACCATATAAATAATGCTGTTTTGCAAACTGATCAAACCGCAAAAGAAAGTAGAAAAAGGACAACGAAATTTCTTGCAACTGTAAAAAAAATTTTGCAGTTAAAGATTATACATAATGCAGTCAAACCTCTGTTAACAAAAACTCTACTGCAGTAATCACTCTCCATGAACAGTTGCCAAATCCCTGGATATCTGGAAGTATAAGATGAATGTACTCCCATTTAGCACACACTTCCTCATAATGGAGAATCCTGGACCTGCAAGTGTTCACTTACAAGAAGCTCTACTTTGTTACACTAAAATTTGGCATTTTTAACTACTTAAACAGAAAATTTATTTTCTGATTAATATTTTATCATCAATACAACTGCACAGAAAACAGGTTAATACTGCTATTCCACCGAAAACAATACTTGTAACCAATTTTTGGAAAATTTACACTGTTTAATATTGGATTGGATTTATAAAACATTTCTATTTTTTCACGATTTCATTAACTGAAAAAGAAAGCAAATTAAAATTCTACGAATTTACAAAAAATCATTAATGATGGGCAAAACTGAAAAGTTTACATGACTATCCCTTTTTCTTTTTGATGGGGGGACCCCTTTAATTTTTTCAATAATATTCACCTAAAAATTGGAAATACCTATGTTTAATATATTTTGAACACACATTTGAAAACTGTAAAACATCAGTACCCAGAAATTTATTTACTCCTCTGAATTTAAAATAATATATAAAGTACAAAATTTCGGCATACACCATGAAGAATGATCTAATATCCAGATCTCTGGACCAACAACAATTCTTTTAAGCAATTTTTTGTGAAGAAGGAGAAAGAATTGGATCATGTGAGCAGGCTTTCACTTAGCATACAAGTCAGCCTACACAGTAGACATTTTTAATTCTCCTTTGGCACTTAATAAAATGACTTCACATCAAAAAACAATCATTTATTAATATTAATCTATGATCAATCATTTGGTTCTGTGGATATGTTTTCCCTACTTAATTTTTGACATACCACATCTTAAATCAAAATACAGTATCAAAGTTCACTGATTTTACATCCGCTGAAAAATTTTTATCCCAGATCATTTTTTGCTTTGATCAAAACAATTTATGGCAGCTTGAGAAACTCACACAGGGATTTCCAAAACAGTTTTTTTTTTTTTTTTTTTTTTTTTTTTTTTTTTTTTTTTTATTAGTAACAGCATACCAAACGGCACGATAACCTTTTAAATGACTTTATTGTTCGCGATGATTACAGCCTTCAGCCAACTGCCCTACGAAGTACCGAGTGTGTTTGTTCACAAGGAGAAATTTAACAAACCTTTCTTTCCATATGTAAAAGACAGATTTTGTAAATGACAGTCACATGTCAAAAGACAATTAAGACTGTTTGAATTAAGTGTAACTAGTTTGTTGATTCTTAAGCCTTAAGTATATGCAAAAATGAAAATAAACAAAAGTAAAATAAATAATTCGAACTTAATACTTCCTCAGCACGTGAAAGAAGCATGGCAAAATTTAGCACATAATTATAGTATCAAATTAAACATTTTTTGGCTAATGAAACCAAATGTCAGAATTCTGCAACTGATAAAATTTGTAAAGAAAGAAAAGCACAGAGGAATGCAAAACTAGTAATATATAAAGTTCATAAAATAGAAATTTCCTATTGCAATGAAAATGCCCCGATCACTAATCAACTAACAGATAGCAAAATTTGCAGTACGGCTTTAAATCCAGAAAATTATTGCCACCAATAGTAAAGAAGGTGACAGAGTTTGTGAGAGCAAAAAAACTTCAACTGACGATTTAGTGAGAATTCTTGACATGGCAATTATAGAATTTGAACACTGGAACTTCATAAGAATATTAGAAATTGTGTCTGTCTATAAAATTAAAGCATTAACACAAAAAGCAACATAACTTAAGCAACTTACATTGAAAGAAAATATTTAAAGGAAACAAATATTCAGAACTTTTTTGAAAATTTTCTTAAGGTCATAAATGCTTCATTATTTCATGAAAACTATTTCATATTTTCATCTTACTAGATTTAAACTGATGAATCTGGAAAATTACAAAATCCAGAACCACCAAAGTTTCAACAAGTCCAGATCTTGGACTTTGAGCTGTGCATAAATTTGCACTTGATTTTGCTATTCTCTTATGTGCTACAACACTTATAAATAACTCTTACTTCACTGACACACATTTTCAATAAATAATATTAAAATTCTACAATCTTTATACCTATCACATCAATTATTTTAATAATTGAACCTTACCTTTAAGAAATCACAAAGAGAGCCTCTTTCGTGATATGCTGATATGAGCCAATACTCAATCTGAAAATGATCTCCTCGTCTTTCAACACCAATGAAATTCAGAATGTTTTCATGCTTCATTTGTGGTAATTGGTATATTTCTTGCTCAACAATCCAAGAACTTTTATCCTAAAATCAGAAGAAATTTAAAAAAAAAAAAAAAAAATTAACCAAAAAAAAATTTTTTTTTCTGGATACTTGTGAAAATGTTTGGATTTTAAAATATTACCTGAGGGGGAAATATTTTTACAGCAACAGGTTCATTATTAACCAGTGCCTTCCAAACAGCACCAAATCTACCTTGAGCTTTGACTTCAATTAGTTGAATTGGAAGAAGTCCAAGTAATGGTGATGGTGGTGGAAGAGGAGATGGGTCAGTAGTTGGGAGTTCGTTGAAAAGAGTCATTTTATGTCGACGATATAACCAGTAACCTAGAGCCACAACTAATGTTATGATAAGAAATGGTAGCATAGTAAAAAGCAATATGTTACGCACTTGACGACTGCTTGATGCCATGCGAATTGGAGCTGCAGTGCTTGGCTTAGCAACTGTAAAACATAAGTGAATATATTACCAAATATTCAATAGAAAAAGCACTACAGCAGATAAAACACCACATGCATTAAAAAAAAATGTGAACACAGAAAATAATTTAGTTGAACATTTAATGCTTCAGGCATGGTTAGTAAGACTTCAAAAGATTAATCTTTTGTAACCCCTACGTTCCTTAATGACAAAGAAAACTTTCATTTTAGTTTAAACAAAGAATATGAATGAAACAGTTCCGAAGATAATATGAGAAATTTAAATACCAGCATATCATTTTTCTCTTGACAGGCCCAAGTCATTAATCAAAATAAGCACAGAACAACAAACAACAATGCCCCCACATTTAATGACAGAGTTCCTATTACAGCAAGATAAATCTTTCAAATTGATTATCTGACGGAAAAATCACCACTTACTAATAATGACTAATTTTATAAACCCGATTTCTGTTTGCAAAAGGTCACTCATTCTCACATACAGGGTGGTTCAAAAGGGTTTGAACCAACTTTTAAGATAGGTCAAGATTTAAAATAAGATAGATGATAAAGAAATGGAAGGAATACACAAGTTTAACCCTTTGCGGTGCACTATACGTTAACGTCGGAATTTCAACAATATAAGTTGTATGCAGTCTATTTAATCCTAAAGGAGTATACAGGTAAAATTTTGTAAAAGATGCACTTACCGTTTTAATTCTGTAGGTGTTCCATGAGGTGGAACACTGCGCCGCCAGAGCTTTTAAAAGTGCGACTAAGCGAGCATTGCAGTGAAGCACGAAAATGAGAAGCGTTTGTATAAGAATGAAAAAATTATTACTGTATTATGGCTGTATACATGGTTTCTTGGATATACACAATATTCCTGAATATATACGGATGAGATAAATATCTATATACACAAATCCTATATACAAAAATATTTACAAATTTTCAGAAAAAGTTAAGACCTTTCCGCACCTTTTATGGAAAATTAATAATAAAAAAATTAACTACGATTAATATTAACAATAAAGAAAAATAAGCCTATGATATATACATACACGAAAAATATATACACAATTATTGAAAATAAACGGGAATGAGACTAAAAAGCGACAGCAAAAAACTCGCGCAGGTCTAAGTAAAGATGAGTCAAGCTACAAATAAAATTCCCGCCTAAAAAATAGTCCGAAAAAATTCGAGATGCCAATATTAGGGCTTTCATAACACAAAACACACCTCACCCCTAAATACTGCTTTGTTTGGATTCATTACCCCCCCCCCCAAAAGCAATGGAAACAGAAAACGTAAACAACGGATGTTCTCTCCTGAGCACAGATGTTCTGATTCGTAACAGCATGAGATCGCTAAAGGCGCAGTGTTCCCACTAATGGAACACCCGGGTTTATTCAATGATTCTGCGTATGGTTTTTGTCTGAAAGATTAAAAAATATATAGAACAGATAATTTGGAGTACAGCCAGCAAAATTAGGCCTAATTTTTTTTCCAAATAAAATTTTTTATATCATTAAAAAATACACAGATACACAGATTCTGAGATAACCCCTGAGAAATAAATGTATGAGGCATAATTCAGGTGATGAGGGTGGCAAAAAAAAAAAAAGCTCTTCCCTCCCGCACAATACCACTGCATAAAACGATAAAGGTTCATCCTCATGACGGCCATTTCTCGCAAATAATGCTCTTTAATGTACATGCAGGTTTCGCAGTTGTTTGTAGCTATGCGAATGTATGTAAGAATAATTTATTTTTATATTCTTAGCCTACTTTTCAGGTACCTTTATTCCCTACACATCTTCCACATATTTTACAAGCTCAGTAGGAGTAGGGTAGCTCAACAATAGTTTTTCTGTTAATGGCGAGCACCTTTAGCACCAAACGATGCTGAAATCTAATTAGATGGTGACAACCTTAATGATATTTAAAACTTCTTAAAAGAATGAAATTTACTAAATCCAAAGTAAATACAAAAAATAAATGAAAAATATAAAACATATTTTACAAGATTAATTTCAGATTATCCAGGTGGCAAAAAACTACTTATTTTACTTGATATTGACGAAAACATTTGCGTCTTTATATGCATTTGCTACCACATGAAAAAAGTAGGAATCCATACGATGGCAGCCAGTGACACTATTTTTATTTTGTACTTTTATACGACATTTTGTGCCAAGATCACTTACATTGTATTTGTAGTTAACTAGTAGGTATAAGTAACTGTCATTTCATTTACATAAGCAACTGAAAATCTATGAGAGGAAGCCATACTCATTCCTGTAGCCATACTCATTCTTCCAACATATTCAAATGGAAGTCATTGCACAGCTAATCATGACAATTGCTGCAAATATGCCAAAAAAACTTGGAATCACTCAGAAGGAGTATTAATTACATGCTGCAGAATGAGGGATCACATGACAGACTGCTTTTTACTAGAAACAGGGAATTTACTACTGAGGAAGAGAAGTCTCCATGTCATCATGTAATCCTGTCATTAGTTGTCTTTCGAGCCTTCGATTCATATTCACAGAAATAAATGCTACGACTCGCAATAATTTGCAACCAGGAAACCAAGAATGTTGAAATTTTTTTTTCATTTGTGAATTTTATATGAACAGTGCATATTTAATTGCTTACTTTTAAGGGTAAGATAACTAAAGTTTATTTTTTAGTGGATGTATTTTTTATGTAGTTAAAAAAACACAGGTTAACAGGTTTTAGCCCCATTTGATCAAAATCTGCCTAGATTGCAGATATTTTATATGATACAGCCAATACTCTGAAGTTGTCCTACCTCCCTTCCCCCAAAATAAACCCCTTTGATTTTTAATATGCACATAGATTTGGGAGCAAAAATGAAAAAGAGATCAAATTATTTCTTATGGTATAATAATATAAATATTAATTCTGTGAAACTTATATTTATTAAATTAGTAATTACATAAATATTAACTCTTTGAAAATACAACAAATACATGTTTTATGTTGTTAAAAAATATTTTTATTTATTTATTTCTTCCCTCAGATACAAGACACGTAGAACAAAAAAAATTATTGTTGCATAATAATGTATAGTGAAAAGAAATTCCTTAAATAGGATACTATGTCAATGTCACAATAACAAAAGGATACAGCATAAAACAAATTTAGCTTCCTAAAATATATGTAAATCAGAATGTATACTAGTTACCAAACAAGGCATAGGAGGATGTTAGTCTAAAGTGATCAAAGAGTCCAAGTCACAGCTGTTTTTTTTTTCCAACTGGTAGAAATAGCTGCATGTTAGTGGTATTTCTAATATTACGATTTTCTGATAAAAACAAGAATTTTGAATAAGATCTCGCGTACAGTTTTATAAAATTTCAAAGCCAGCAAGAACTTCTTTATATTCCAACAAGTATAAAATCACTTAGTTCAAAATACTGATCGGAGAAAAGAGAGTTTGTATTAAGCAAGTAAGGAAAATTAAAAAGAACAGTGTAGAAAAATTAAAAAGAACAACGTTCAATCGAAGTAGCTAGAAAGGATGACATGGTACTTATTGAACAGGGAATTCAAGAAAATCAAAAACTCGAGGATGCAGAGAAGGTTAACAGAAACAATAATATTAATCCCAAAACTATAATGTAAATGAAGAACTTACAAAAGAAAGTCCTGTAGACGCTATACGGACATATAACAATATATATGGAGACTGTGATGGATGTAAAATTTTCAATGAAAGGAAAATCTGGTAACAACTGGGTGCTCGATATAGATCCCAATTATTTCAAGTTTATGGCTAAGAATTAATATGTAAATCTCAAATGGACACAGAATACGATGTGAGAATTCCTCAGAAAAAGTGTCAAAAATGCTTCAATTAAAATATATTGCAGTGCTGAGCAAAGATGTTCTCGATATGCTGACATGGGACATATCAAAGCAGATTGTCCAGCTGTGGAATCTTGTATTAGTTGTAAACAAGCAAATCAAAAGTATAAATTGGATCTCAGTATTATTCACGATACTAACACAAAGTCGTGCTAATATTTGCGATATGAAATTTTAGAACAAACTAACATTTTTGTTAGCACTTAAAAAGTCAATATCTGGACAACAGGAAAAGACAACTAGAATATTTTACACTGGCAACTAAATGTTAACACCATTATGTAGTCCAAGGTCAAATGTACACTTCTTTCGTTTAGTGGCTGTGCATGTTTATGGATGTACACTGTTACATTTGGGGTTTTTGCAAGTCAAATGCAGTAATGTTCCATTGTATTTCACAGTGTGTGGACATTTTTATTGGCAACTGACTGCATTTACAAGTTTTTGCCTTTTCTAAAAAAGGAATTATGTAAATTCAGTTTTACAGGATATTCTCCCAACATTCAATAATTATATATGAAAATTAAACATATTTTAAAGTATGAAACCAGGAGATAAAGCTTTACTTTCATGTAATGTTTTCCAAAAGAAGTAAATTTAATGTACTATCATTTTAATAGCACTATAAAACCAATTTTGCAGAACATAAAAAAAAAAATGTGCATCGACACTACGACTTCCTTGAATGGCCTATTAAACTATACACATTTTTTGCTGCATTTCATTGAAACTTATTTTCTCAAATTTTATTAGAGACATATTTCTCATTCAATTAATTCAGTTTTCACTTCACAGCAAAGCAAAAATACATAAAAACGCAGATCATTAAAAATTGTAAATAACAGAAACACATAAAACACCAAATACAGTTAAAACAGTTAAAAAAAAAAAAAAAAAAAAAAAAAAAAAAAAAAAAAACAATTTTTACAATGAAATTAGAGTTTCTATAGAAAACCAAGCAATTTGGTCAGTGGGCAAGAAGGCAGGTTTTTTTTGGGTGGATGCATAAAACTGAAAATATACCTTTGATCCCACTTGGCAAAAAGACACTGAAGGTGCAGAAACTGGTTTAATTTACTATTCTATCGAGTTTCAAATGTAGACAAATAGCAGTTCATTAGGCTTAAATCCCCACTTAAAACTTTTAAATTGTTGATAATTCTACAACTACGGCGTGCAGATTAACTAAAGGCATAAAAACCTTAACCAGAACATAAAAACCACATAATTCAATCACTTTTGAAGCAAAAAATGCACAATTTACCAACATATAAGAATTAAAAAACTAAGCTCATTGAGCCTAGCAGAGTGGGTATATATATTTACATACTTGCCAACCTATGACACTCAAAAATCAGGAGATTTTTTTAAGAAATCAGGAGATTTTTCACAATGTTAAAAAGACTTTTTAAATGATAAAAATATAGTTTTTAATAATGAATGAACTTTAAGTAGTAACTAATTCTTAAATGCAAGCAACACAAAATACCTTACACATAAAAAAATTTTTACTACACGCATCGTTTAAGAAAAAAAAAAAAAAAAAAATACTCTTTAATCAGTTTTCGTACAAATGTTATAAACAGTGGCAGATTTTGCTTTCTTTAAGAAAGAAACTTTATCATTGTGTTCACAGCAATTGCCACGTAGGCCTGCTTTCGCTGATAAAAGTTTTTCTAATGTGCCATCTCTAATATTAGATCTAAATTTAGTCCTCGTTTTTGCAACAACACTGAGGATCCTCTCACACTCTGCATTACTATAGGGAACTGTCAAGATGACCAACACAATTCTAGACAGTTCACTATATTTTAAAATTCCATCAGCACCTTTCAGTTTTGCAATTAAACTCCACTGGGTGTCAATCGTAGCTGATTTTATAACTTCATCCAAGTTTTCTAATTGTAAACTGCTGTTATGCAGCTGTTGGAACTGTTTTAATTTTTTCTTCCTTTTAGAACTCCTTTCAAGATAATAATAAATATCAACAATGTGTTCATCCACATTTATTGGAAAAGAAGTTGCCCCTTTTTCAGCTGCTAAATTTAAGAGGTGACAGGTGCACCTCATAATCTGAATTTTTTCCTTTCTTAAGATGCCTGCCAACACCAGCCTTCCAAGCCTACCAATACTGGTGCATTATCGGCACCAAGTGCTAAGCAATTATCCAGAGTGCCTGCAGTTTTCTTTTAAAGTTTTAATAATTAGCTGTGCTATATTAAAGCCTGTCAAATGTCCTTATAAAGTGGGAACATAAAGTAAACTGCACTCAATTTCTGAAGACTCTGGATCAAAAAAAGAAACAACAATCGGATACAGTTTTGAATCGGTATTATTGCTTCCATCAGTAGAGAGGCAGACCGGAGCTGTTTTAATGCAATCAATAACTGAAGATTTATTTTTCAAACCCATTTCTTTAACAATTGCACCTGTTTTGATTCTTGCACCTTGAGTATTTCTTGGCGATTTCACTATCGGGAAACATTTTTCTAAATAAAGCTGCAGCATGATCCTATGCATTCAGTAGGCAGGTTGTGCTCCAGTAAAAAGGCCGAGAACAGACATTCTTGCATTAATAACTTTTTTGGTCCTTTGTTTCCGAAAGAAAAATTTAGTTTTTCGTTTTTTCGAAAACAACTCACCTTGTCCTTGTGTTTTTGCGTACACACATGATTGAGAACATCCGCCCTTCCAACATGCGAAATCGAAAAATCGCAACGACAGACGGTACACATCGCAAATTTATTACATTTCCTTGAGGAATAAATGGAAGGAAAGTCAACTGTGTACGATGTTTGAAACGTACACGAGTATTTCACCTTTCTCGCAGACGTAACAAAAGATGATAATTTCTAAACTATTTCCTTAAGCCACGTGTACTCAACACAACTCAGGACAAAATGAACGAAATAACTAAAAAGACGTCCAAATAACAACTTGCTTTGTCCTCATTGGCTAATATATGCCAGCTGACACGCAGTGGAGCTCGAAGCCTATTGAGAACTGGAGATGACGTTCTGGATACGTATAATGCTCTCACTCACAAAGCAGAAGCTATCTGATTCGCAAGGTTTAGTTTTTAGATATAATGTAGAGAAAATTCAGTTGCTTTCAGACGTCCAAAAGCACTTTTTTTTTTATTCATATAACAAAGTAGTAAGCCAGTTGCATAAAAAATCGTGAGAATATTAAGAATAAGAAAAAGTCGGGAGAAATATATTGTAAATCGGGTTGGCGGGAGAGCGGTCGAAAATCGGGAGTCTCCCGCCTAAATCGGGAGAGTTGGCAACTCTGTATTTATATATGATTGGAACAGCCGATTGCAAAGAAAAAGGGAGGCGCAAGACTACATATTATAACAGTCCCGTATAAAAAATTTCAACATTCTATGGCTACTTGCTCTTGAGTTATGCGAGATAAATACATACAGACATCAGGAATAAAAATCTTCTGAATCCATTTTAAATCCAATTTACAGTCCTTTTAAACAAAAAACAGTCCTTTACTCTGTCCATATGTCAAGATGTCATGCAAAAACAGCATTCTAACTGGTTTCGAGAGTGGTTGAAATGGATATTTTCATTGAAACATGATACCCGAAATTTCTCACAATTACAATACTCCCTTTACTTCATTCAAGGAAGTAAGAATAGTCATGACATATACAAATCACCATATTGCCTTAAAAATTACTAAAATGGTGATCAAATCCAGTTACCGACAGACTTCAGTCAAATCCAGTTTGCAAAACAGAAGTTATTTAATAAACGGCCTGAATTCATAATGATATAAAATATCTGTCTGAACTTATGGTGATTTAATTGCATCATAAACCATTTGTGACAACATTAATTCAGACGCATATGAGTGAACAAAAATTAATGTATCTTAACAACATTAGAAAAAATTTACTATTGTATAATACTATTGCAAAATTGTATAATACTTTTTCAAGAAACAAACTGATGTAATACTAACTTGCAGGAGTAGGAGCAAATAAGCCAGCAGGTACAGCCATTACACGATTGCACATAGATCCTTCACAGCAGCAAAAGAGAAGTTGTACATTAGGCGCATGGCGTGTTTCCATACAACGATTTCTATTATTGCTGCAAGCATCTTGACTACCAACCCAGCACCCTAAAATTTATAATTTACATTCTCACTAACTACACATCTACACATTAAAATATAAAGAAAATAAAAGACAAAAAAATTTAAATTAACCTATTCTTAACTACTACCAAAAAGATATTCTTAATAACAGAATTCTTCCTTTACATTACCTTCAAAACAGGTTCTCATAGAATAAGTTCCCAAAACTTAAGAAACAGACAAAAAGTCATTATACCACAAAGTTATCACCAAAATAAAATTTTGTAAAAATACTGTTTCATCATACAGCTATAGAAATCATGTTATCTGCCAACCTTAAAATGAAAAAAATCGGGAGATGCTTACCTAAACAACAGAAGTTTTCAGGAGATTTTCAAACTGCACAATGGCGCTATTCCAAAAATCATCTTAAATTCACTTTATAATGCATGATTTGAGTTACTGAACTATTTACATGATTCTGATGTAAAATATATTAATATTTAATTAGATCTTCTGAATTTATGTTCTTTGACCACTTTCAATTTGCAATTTTTTCTTATACTTTTATACTGAGAAATACTGAGATGGGAAGGAAAAATATATGAATGTATAAATGTATAAAAAATGTATAAATGAATGTACACTATCTGGCCCAAAGTATGCAGACATCCAACGGTACAGACTCAGAGAGTCCTGAGGCATTAATTAATATGATGTTGGTCTTCCTTTTGCATTGATGACAGGCTGCATACATCTGAGACTTTTCACCAGATTTTGGATAGGTAGAAATAGGAACTGACTTCCAGGCATCCATCGCAGTTTAAGTGAGCGCAGGCAGGTGAGGATGGTCAATTCAGCTGGCTGTATAATAAGCAATCTGATTTGTTCCAAAGGTTTCAGGGCTTCAAAAAGGCCAGTCTAGTTTTTCAACACCCATTTCATCAAGCCATGTCTGCACAAGTCTCCATGTATGAATGGAGCAGTTATCCTGCTAGAAGAGAAATTGGCCTTCCCTGAAATATTGCCACAGAGTTGGGAGAGCAGCGTTGTCTAGAATATCCATTTCAGAGTTCATGTTTCCAACCACACAAACTAAACTCAGGACAAACCATCAGAAACAACCCCCCATCATGATGCTGCCACCACCAACCAAGCTTTCCAGTCGGCACAATGAAGTCGCTTAAGAAGCGCTCGCTCACCGGGCATCTGCCAAACCCAGATACTTCCATCAGACTGCCAGATTGTAAAGTTCATTACTCTAAAGAACATTTTTTCACATTCCAATGAAGGTGAACTTTGCCCCACTGCAATCGATTCTTCGTATTCTGGGAAGTGAAGTTTGGCTTGTAACTGGCTGCACAACCATGGAATGGCAGTTTTTTAACTCTTGATGAATAATCCTGTTGCTAGCATTAATGCCTGATGAATTTTAGAACTCCTGAGTGATTTCAACCAATGAAGATGTTCGATTTTGTTTCACTACCCTTTTCAGGGTTCTATGGCTGCAATCACTAAATTTTTTGGCTGCCACTTTGTTTTCCTGCAGTTTCACTCCCTCAACGGTTCCACTTCACAATTACATCACTCACAGTGGATTTTGGCTTCTGGAGAATGGCCAAAATTTCATTAACTAATTTCCCACAGAGGTGGATGGCATTCCACTATATTACCACGATCGAAGTCATTAAGCTCCTTCGACTCGCTGATTGTCTCATAAACACATAAATATGACTTGAGAAACCGCCACCAACACTTTTATAGTTTTTGGTTGTACATCAAATTATGTCACCAGCCAGATCCACTGCTTTTGGGCAGTTTCTAGATACTTTTGGCCAGATAATGTATACTTAGATCTGATGAAAATAAAATTAGCTGTGATGATTTATTTATTTATTTTGACTAATAGTTAATTTTTAGTTAAAAGCTACTTCTCTTTCACTCTTCTTTTCTCCCAAGCTTTACATGCCAGAATGTAAATTAGACAGCCCACATATGTTCAGATTAAAGTTCAGACAGGGCATGGGAGAAACAGAAAATAAATTACGATAACAATCAGAAGGACGTCAATATAAAGTGAGAGATCAGGTACTTAAAAGCAAACATTCTTTATCATCAGCTATTTAAGCGAAGGTTTCACTAGTTGATTTTAGAGTGTGCTCTGCCTGCTTGAAGCCACATTACCGTGATTTAATTGCGATTTGATTCTGTGGTGGTGAGTGTTTCTAGCCATTAAGCTTATCCCACCAGCTTCTACAAACCAGAGCCTTCCTGCACGTTCACTTCATCCTTTGAGCCATTAGGCTAGTCTAATTGCATTTTACTTTAAGTTCAACATTACTTGTTTAAGATAAACCAGAAATGTTGGCTTATGTTAATCCAAATGTCAATTCTTTATAGTCGAATAATAGGACTATTTACATCCTTCTTTTGAATTTGTCTTTTGACTTGTCTGTCAAAGACCTGAAGACAATTCCTCTACAGTCTTTCTAAATATGAGTTTATGTTACTAAACAATACGAGACTGTATACTGGCACCCAGCAATAAGAAAATTGTGTCATAAGAAAGCCTTATCATTTAGCATTTTACCTTCAATGTTGCAAGCCCCATCAGCCACGGTGAATCCCATGGAGGGATTTTGATTTATTATCAACACCCTTAGAGCTGCTATGCATCCAGCAGCAACTTTTGATGGAAAGACCTCAGTCTTAAGTTTTATTAACACGCTGAGTGCCACGTCAGCCATCTGTGGCTGACACGTTTAGGCCACGTCGACCGCCGCTGGCTGACAGTGTGTATCATGTTATATAACTATAAAATTTGCACTGTTTTATGGAATTAAAGAAAAGTTATTTAAAATTTACTTAATTTTGATTCATTACAGGACTAATGGATTTCATTGAAACATGGTAAATATAAAAACGGTTCTCTATTACTGCTATTACAAAATGTAACAACTCTTTTAGTCTTTTTTTCTGCCCATTACTCCTGACCCTACAATACCAGCGCTTTTAAGCAGCGCGCGTGGCCTGAACAGGATTGCTTAAGAAATATGTGTGGCGCTCAACGTGTTAAACAGTTAAATCCGCATTTTCTGCTGCATCCAGTTCAACAAGCGCAGAAAGATACTACTGGCCTTTGAGGCCAGGCTTCAACGTGGTATAAATGTATCGGCAAATTTACCTTGGGTGAGCCTGGCAGCAAAAACTACAATCGAGACTTCAAGAGTTTAATTACAAAATAAACTGCTTGGAAAGTAAACACAGTGGCTGATGCACTGTCAAAAATAAAGTTAAAATAATGAAGGCAACACACTAAAACGCATTATGCTGACATAAAAAATACTTGACTCTTGTGAGACAATTATTGCAGAACTGAAAAGGGATTCCAGATTTAAGAATATTTATTTTTACCTAAAATATCTGGATCATTTTGACATTGGAGAAATACGAAAAAGAAAAATTACGAAGTTATTGACAACCTGTTTCGATTCAAAGTCTACAAATCAAACTTGTGAACTTAGATTGGTTATCCCAGAGACTTTTACAGTTAAATATTTCAAGTGAATTACATGATTCGCCCATGTCTGGCCACCAGGGAATTAGAAAAAATAGTATAACAGTGAAAGGAGAACAGTACGTAAGGTGGTGTATTTTCCACAGTTACAAAATTTCATAGCTATATATGTAAAGTTCTACCATACTTGCCAGTTAATTAATGACAACTATAGACCAGCCAGGTACTTGAAAAACACAAAAGCAAAATTCCATAATGAATTACTCAAGATTGACATGTTGGGCACATTTCTACACAACAAAATAAATAAAAATCACTATTTACTCATTATTGCAGATCATTTTTCTAAATGGGTTGAAATAGTTTCCGAGAAGAGCCTCAGCTAAAATAGTAACCAATTTGTTTTTAACTTTTGCTACAGGTTTTCCAGGTGTGTTTCAAGAAAATTCCAGTCTACCCATGCAGTGCACATTCGCTGTGCTGAGAGGTAAATTAATTATGGTACCACTTGAAAAGACAAAAATTTGCAAATTGCATATGACATATATATACATATATATATATATATAATAATGTCCAAAGCATTGCTATTATAACTATAATAGGAGTTGTTTCCCCACTGCAGATTAAGATTAGAATCTGGATTAAAATCTGTCATTTTTTGCAGACATTTTGCAGCTAAATGAAAGAAATAAATCTATTCAATGATATTTTTAAATAAATTCTGGTACTTTATATTTATTTAATAGCACACATAAGCAAAAATTATGTGCATAGAATTTCATGATGGTATGTCATCATACTGTTAATTTTAAGAGTATGCCAGAGAAAATCGGCGAAAATCTGAAAGTATTATTAACTAATGATAAATAAACTTAGAAAGAAGAAGCCACATTAAATTACATGAATAACATTAAAATAAAGTTAATTACTTAAAGATTAAAAACTGAATTACAATAACCAAAGATATTTTGGCTAATATAATTATATTAAATGACGATTAGATTGATTTAAATGCCTAGATGATTGATTACTATTTTTTTTTTTCACTTTACTGCAAAATAACAAATAAGGCATCTGTTAAAAATAAGAGAAAAAAGGGTTTAAAAGATCTTATGGTAAAATCCTAGCATACGGCTTGCCTAGCATTTTGCCTTGGCATAAACTTGAAAATTGTCACCAACACCAAAATGACCCATTTACTGCTCAACATAAATGTCCCGTTTACTGCTTATCACAATGTCGCCAAGTCCTGCGTGTACCATATACTAGGATTAAACCGATTTTTCTTATACGAGAATGGGAAGGTATTTTCTTTCATTCAACATGCACTGCTCATGTGCATGTAAATCTCTCGAGGTTACTGGAAACTGGCTTTGCCTCCCTAAAAGACAATCTGATTGGAGCTGCAAAAATTAGCTCAATGCCAGCTGCCCAAATGACATATAATTCATATGATATATAATTCACCAAGAATGTGATTGCTTCCAACACCGGTGTAAAAATCGTTTTTCGGGAGGGGAATCGCTGTATGAAATTCCCTGAATTTTCCTGGTTTTTCAACAGAGTGGCAACTCTGTATGTCTTAAAATATGGAGCTCTAGTAAAATTAATTTCTGACAATGGTAAGCAGTTTGTCCCCCAAATATTTGAAGGGCTATATACAAGACTTTGCATACGCCACCTAAAAACAGTAACTTATCAGGCACAATCCAACATAGCTGAAAGTAAGAACAAGAATATAGTAAAGATAATAAGCGGCTGCGTGAGAAACTACCATAATTGCTGGGATAGCTGGTCAATGAGTTAGTATATGCATTACGAACAGCAAAGCATGGTACCATGAGGAAGCATCCAGCCAAGCTGTGCTTAGGCCAAAAGTTAATTACACCACTGTACAAAATATTCTTTGTACAGAAGAGAGCCCTGGAATTCAAAATGAAAGATATCCAAAAGTTAACAGATAAAGCAGTTAAAAGTTCAGGCAGGGCATGGGAGAAACAGAAAATAAATTACGATAAGAATCAGAAGGACGTCAATATAAAGTGAGATATCAGGTACTTAAAAGCAAACATTCTTTATCATCAGCTATTTAAGCAAAGGTTTTGCAAGTTGATTTTAGAGCATGCTCTGTCTGCTTGAGGCCGAGTTGTTACTGTGATTTAATAGGGATTTGATTCTGTGGCATTCAGTGCTTATAGGCATTAGGCTTGTCCCACCAGCTTCTACGTGGCACAGCCTTCCTGTGTGTTTACTTTATCCTGTAGGCCATTAGGTTAGTCTAATATTTTATTTTAAGTTCGACATTACTCTAAGCCAAAAGTGGTTTATGTAAACTCAAGACGAGTCAATTGTCAATTCTTTGCGATCGAATAAAAGGGCTATTTACACTCTTCTGATTTTGCCTACTGTTTAAGAGCTGAGGATAATTCCTCTGTGGTCTTTCTAGAGCTCACGAGTTTACGTTACCAAAGAATACAAGACTCTATATAGTAATTAATGTAAAACTTTTGTGTGGATAAACTTAGTAATGTACTACAATACTGATATAAAAGAAAATACAAATATTAATTGATTTAACACGAGTTGAATCTTCCTAACAAGTTCTACCAATGTCTACGCCAGATTAATGCTTAAAATTAGCTGGAAAACATCTTCCTTAGTAGAGGCTACAAATTAAAACCCGGAAGATGTGATAAAAAATATATAATAGCTAGCAGCTATAAAATTATTAAGACATTACAGATCAATCATTTATTTGGTACTGAAATTAACATATGCCAAACATTAAAGGGCTTCTTGCATTAGAATATCATCGGCTAAACTGGTTCTTTGGGCTTTAAATGCAGCTCCATTGTAACAACAGTAGTTTTAATATAAATCACTGCCCTACATAATCTTCCTCAGATAGGATAATCTTTTTTAAATTAATTTCTTTTTGTACTAATTGCTTATATATAAGGCTGACTAATTAATCATAAGCAATTAAGTTCATTAAGCAAATAATTTTTTACACGCTTATAGAGATATTTTACTCAGAAATTAAGAGTATCACATACAAGCACATACATAGACCACTTGCTCTTATTATTGCTAAATGCAATGACTATTTATATGAATTCTGTACGTTTTCAGGTTTTGATATTTTAAAATTTGCTAATAACACTAGAAAAATTAGGTGCAACCAATATTGTAACACTGCAGTTAAAACTAAAAATCTACAATAAGGAAACTAGATAACAATAAGAAAAAGGAAACATAAAAAGCCACTCGCAGTGCAAAGAAAGCATTAAAAATGGTGATACAAAATTCTGAATATACACAAACAACAAAACAATACAGATACAAATACACATCTGAATATTAAAACACTTTTCCATTCCCTTTTCAAAATACAGAATAAATTTAAAATTCAACATTCAGTAGTTAGTTTGATGTATATGACGTGCTTATTTCAACATTTGAACAAGAAAGCTTACATTAATTTTATAATACTAAAAATATAAGAAAAGTGGAAATATTTACAAACAGAAATAATAAACTTTAATACATATGAGGGTTATATTAGCAGAAACAAATACATAGAAAATGTAACAAAACCTTTTAATTTGATGGTTAAAATTTTACTGCTATTTTGCCATAGCACATAACATAGATTTCCTTTTTCATTTTCACCGGGTTTACACTCTTCAGTTCCATTGCATCCATCACCATTACTATTACTACTGCACAATGTCTCATTGTATTTTTCACAAAACATATCACTGGCAGCATTTATGGGTATTAAACCTGAAAAAAATTCATAATCAAATTATCCATGCATATTTTCCTATTAAGTACACAATGCTGCATTTAAGAATTTAAAAAAAATCAAGACACATGAAAACATTTTAAGCATGTAATGCAGCTTAAAAACTTTAGTTTGAATCTCTGAAAACCAGTTTGACAATTTCCAAAAAATGCTCATTTCCCAGGAGAACCTTCATGCTTCACACAAAGAGAAAACATTTCACAAAGATTACATAACTAAATATCTCATCAATAGGTGGTCACCTGCAATGATTTCAATACTAGAAAAAAATCATATAACGTATACCTTCTGACTCCAACAATTTTAGTCAGTGATAATTAATTTTTACCAATCAAATTTATTAAAATATTGAAACGTATGATACACAAGATTTCATACAAGCCTTCCAACAAAGGAAGTTCCAAACTGTAAATTGTTATTTAACCTACTTCTGAATTATTCTTGTCTAGCAGCACAGAAAGCAGAAAGATTCTGTAATATACAAAAATGCCTTAAAACGTGTCAAACTAATGACTTTAACCTACTGAAAATAAACCCTCAATTTTAAAACTCATAGAAATATTTGATTTTCTCTTTTCTACATATACATTCTACACATACATTCTTATAAAATTTTCTCTTTTCTACAATAGGAATTTTAAATCCTGCTTTTATATCAGTTTCCCCCCCCCTGTAATAGGTTTCTGTTAGAAAAAGGTTAAATCATTTCCATTTGAAAAACCTCACATGCATACTAATTTTTATCAATATTTTAATGTAAATCATTCTCAACCCCTCCTCCTCTTGATTGATTCGTCTACAAGAAGTATTTTTCTCCTTAATTTTTTTTTTTATTCTTATGAGAGCCAAACAAAAATTTTTTAAGTTTTGCGTGTTTTTACTAAAAAAGTATCTCACAGCTAATAGACTACTGAACTCATTTCTTATAGTGGGGCTGTGGTCTATAAGCAGTCATTCAAGAGATTTTAGTCAATCATTTTGAAGCATTTTATATACAGTACCTGCTGTCATAAATTCACCAGTTACTACACTCAACTGCTTACTATGTTAAAATTTCAAAGATCAAAAACTAATATGTACTAATTAATAGATAAACACCACTTATTAAACTCAAACTGACAAGACTCCTCATACTCTAGGGCCAGAATACCATGCTTGTACCTATCAAAGCGTTTCGTAGTTCATCCATTTTAACATTCCGTGAGCCATGCCTTTATCATTTACATATGTGATACAGTCAAAAGTCTTTAATCCGGACTCGTCGGGACTTCGGCGATTCCGGATTATCGGTTTTTTCGGATTATAGATCATCAGTTTAAATCTGGTAAGAAGGCATGCAGAAATTATAAAATTAAAAATATGAAACCGTAATTTATGAAATAAAGAGCAATTATGATCTAAAGGGTATCAAAATTTACATTAAAAAAAAAAAAAAAGCTTTATACTTATTTGTTTTTTTTAAACATTTCTTTCACGCACGCAATGCTAAAGTTACATTACGCATAGTTAAGCGCATCATAAAGCATACATACGCATAGTCCCGAAATTAGAAATTGCAACCAGAAAACTATTTGATGTGTTCGTGATATTTTATGACGAGGAATTTGATTTAAATCATATCAAAGACGGAGCACATCGAATGAAATACTACACATTTAGTAAGGAATTATAAGCCAAATAAAATAAAAACATCTGCCTTGAAGATAAGGATAGTGCTGACAGATCAACTTCTAGTTCATCGCACGCCGCGTCCGCCCCCCCCCTGCGCAGAGCAGCGTGAAATTGATAAACATATTTCGAAATGATCAGAGAATCAAAGGATATGCCTCTATCCATTTTTTGCAGCAATTCCACTTTTTGTTTGATGGACATCGAAACATGCTTTCGCTTTGTAGATCCTTTGGTAGCTCCAGAATCGGAAATTCCTTTTGACATAATCGAAAGGTTGTAACCTCTCACTAAGTCGATGTTTCAGATAACTCAATTTTCCTTAAAATTTTGTTTAATATAATGCATTTTACTGTGAAGAAAAATTTCTCTAACTCAACACAGAAAATAGTCATTTCTTTAAATCAATTGAAGTTTATCTGCCTTTCGAAAATAATTTCCACCTTACAGGTTCCAAGGGAAAATAAAACCGACATTAATGTAAAAAATGAAGTACTTGCATATTATATTAGCCTTCAACTGTGGAAGTTGGTAGGGATCCCACCAAAGTTTTAACAATCATTCCTGCAGAATTTTGAAGTAACTGATGCATATTTTTTAATAAATACAGTCAAAAGGCGTAAATTCGGACCTCAAAGCTACAAACTTTCTGCGCATGCTTCGCATTGACACGCATGTGCGTAAGACCTTTACGGCTGCGAATATGCATGTGCTCAAAATACGTTTACGAATGTACTTTTAATGTATAAACGGACGGTATAAAGCTAAGCTAAAATGATCTAATTATCTATTCAGTTAATGTTGCAGATTGCGTTGTTCCTTAATCTTCGATTGGATCCGGCTTATTATTTTTTGCCGACTGTTAAGCAATTTTATGAAAGTAAGCTTGAACTTTCGATTATGTCAAATAGAATTTCTGATATATATTACTAAGATGTAAAGGATCTACAAAGCAAAAGTATGTTTCGAAGTCCATTAAACAAAAAGTGGAATTGCTGCAAAAATGGATAAAGGCATATCCTTTGTTTATCTAAACTTTCATTTGTTTTATCTAACTTTGTTTATCTTTAACGCCGCGGCACCAATTGGAAGTTGATCTGTCAGCACTATTCCTTATCTTCAGGGCAGATGTTTTTATTTTATTTGGCTTATAATTCCTTACTAAATGTAGTATTTCATCTCGATGTACTCCGTCTTTGATATGATTTAAATCAAATTCCTCGTCATTATAATTCGCTTCTGATAGGGAAGAAAGTGACAGAGGTTATCGAAAATGAAAAAATTTTGATTGACAAATTAATCGGTATTCTCAACACAGCAATTACAGGACTTGAACAGTGGAACTTTGCAACTGAACAAGAAATTATGTCTGTTTATAGAATTAAAGAGAATGTATTATCACATAAAAAATGAAAGCAACTTAAACAACTTACATTGAAAGAATGTTTAATAAAGTAAACAAATAAATATTAAGCTTTTTTTTTTTTTTTGTAAATTTTGATACCCCTTTAGATCATAATTGTTCTTTATTTCAGGTTTCATATTTTTAATTTTATAATTTCTGCATGCTATTTTACCAGACTTAAACTGATGATCTATAATCTGGAAAAATCGATAATCCGGAATCGCCAAAGTCCCGACGAGTCTGGATTAACGACTTTTGACTGTATTTGCTAAAAAAGTGTTCGAATCATCGCATTTTTTGACCAGTACTTGGATATGGCAGTCTTCTTCACTTGAGGAATCAACAAACATAATGCTAAAAAGGAGTAAACCTCGTCAATCATCGTTTGTTTTGTTTTGGGCCTTGCAGTGTCATTCTTGCACACTCTAGTACAAAATGCATAATATTTATTGGTTTCATTAACAAATATTTTTACAAAGCCCACATAAATATATTTGTGAAATAATCATATTCTTCAGCGTCATCAGCCACATCAAACATATCATTCACTCTGCCTATAGTGACAAAATTATATGCTTCTGGTTGAAATTCATCAGTCTCCCCAATGAAAATTTACATTATCCTGGCCACTACTATTGCTGGAATTAGTATTAGATTCAAATACATCTCCATCTGTCATTATTTCTTACATTTTCCTCACCACTTTCAAAATCGCCTGATGATAAGCTTCCACTAGTACCACTTACTATCGCCATTCAGACCAAATTACTCTCAAAACAGAGTGAAAGGATGGTGATTTTCTTCCCCCCCAAGCATATAAATTAATTCTCTTCTTTTTCACAGAAAAGAAGACTTTCTTGAACCTTTAAAATCGCAACAAGTAATAACGCCCGTTTTGTACGAGACTGTGGTTTGGCAGAATGCCAGCTAAGGCTGCGCTTGAGACAGTTAAACTATAGAACTGTTACAAAATCTCCAAAACACATTATTGAGGGTTCACGGAGACCAGCCACAGTTACACGAGATGTCGATGCACATAAACCACTGGACACCCTGACAAAATTCCATTTTTCATATTGCTGGTGACGTAAAAATAAAAACAGATAGAATGCTTACAGTGTATTATTTATTATACAAAATCATAAAGAAAAACAAAATTTACAATTTTTTCAGTAATTAGTTATTTCTTGTTATAATTAGCTTATTTTTGAGTCAATTTGGTTTTTTTGGATAAATGACTGCCATTTTATAACTGCTCACTGACAACAAAATGCCGCTTGACAACCGCTTTAAAACTGTAAAATGTCTTGATGATTTTTGGAATATGCGGCAGACTTGGTAAATCATTTATTAACAACCGCTGTAGTTAATGGGTTAAAAATTTTATATTTTTCTAAATTTAGTTCTGCTTTAGCGTTACCTAAGCTATTATAATTCATTTTCTCGACAAGTTCCGTTAACCGCATTTTCAAAACTTTCCTCCCCTCCCCCTTTTTCAGACATTTTTTAAATATTCTAAACCTCATTTTTATAAATACTTCAGCAACAATAAAGAAATGTCAGATGAAATTAAAATGCTTTAAATTTGTCACTCATGTTGCATTTTGTACCAGTTGTGAATCTCTTAGCTATTCCGAACGAAAGTGCATAGCCAGCAACATTATGAAGACTAAGCAAAATACCTAGTCACAAGCATGACTTTTTCTCAACCTCCGACTCCACGGACCAATGTATTTTATGTGTTTTCCTCAAGTTAAATTAATAACAGTAAGAACATTTATCACAGAAATAGACTGTAGAAACATAGTTCTTTAATTTTACATTAAACTTAAGAACATCTTTGAAAGAATGCAATGATAAAAAAAGTTACGATTAGCAGGAGACAAAATACAAAACAAAATGCAAGCT